AATGCGAGGGCTGTCGCAAAAAACATTATAAGTGATTCATTTGATATGAACTCGTAGGTAGGTAGGTATCATATTTTTTAAAGTTTGTTTATGTGGGCTGGTCATAATTCCTAATAAAATCCCAAATCCATGCCAGCTGAGTACTATTATATTACTCATACGTAATGTTGCCTTTTGAAAATTTCATTTTTACTAGAAAGTAAAATACATAAAAAGAGCCAATTAAAACTAATTCGAAGTGTTGCACTTAGTAATAGTTTTAAAAATGTACAGATATCTAATTAGATGATTTCTACCCTTTTATACTAAATCACTTATAGGAAATGTGTATTTGTTTAACATATTGTTAAATGAGTATTTATTTGACATAACAGTTGCTATCACTTTGTGATTTTTAAAGACATTTTAAAGAAATCTATAGCGAAAACATAAACCTTGAAGTCACACGTGTTTCAAAAAATACAAAGCTATATGAAAGCTATATAATATAACCTTATTACAATTTGACCTTCGGTCAAAGTTCGTTTCGTTTGAGCATTTTAGTCTGTTTGTGGCACTTTCCTGGCACTCCTCTATGCTCAACCCCTCACCCCCTGTTCCCATTTTATACGCATTTCAACATTTATGTGCAGTTTTTATGCGCCACCTGCCAAGCGCTTTAAGCACGCCCATAATCCGCCCCCGCACTCGCATGCACAAATAATTGCAACATATTAATAATGTCTGCGACCACGCCCCCTCGCCCCCGCCCCTCTTTTATGGCTTTCAATTTGATGCGAGCAGTTAATAGCCCAAACACAAAGCCAAAGGAAGTGGAAATGGAAGTGGATGTGGAAGAGTGGGAGTAGAAATGGTAGCGAGGTTAGCGCAGGAAATTGCATGAAATTTAACAAATTTTTCTTGACTCTCCGGGAAGACAAAGATATCCCTTCCCCACGGCCCCCCCGCCGTTGCAAACTTTAATATAAGCTTATTGGCTTTTGGTAGCTGCCACCTACAAAAACAAAAAAAAAAACAAAGGAAAGAAAGGAAAATAAGGAGAAAAACAGGAGACAACTCTTGGCTACAAATTTTGACGAGCTCAGCAATCTGAACACGCATGGGGCAGATGCTCCAGTGGCGGGAAGGGGGGAGGGAGGGGGCGTGGCGCTTCAAGGGGGGTGTCGGAACTGAAAACACGTAGCTGGTTCCTGGGGCTCAGCTCGTCTCCCGTCACGTTTTACGTAACGTAATGAGATTTTGCGGCAGCTTTGTGCATTGCGGCAAACGCACCATGTTCCGCTTTTGGACCCATGTCCACCTCCATGTCCACCTCCATGTCCATGTCCCAGTCCGTGTCCTGCGACCTTGCTGCACGTCGAAGGTGTTCAAAGGTCCTGTCAATATTGCCGATTTGGTTCGATTAAGCACTGCGTTAGCATGACAATCGATCAGAACAAAAGCAGTGCCAAGTGGCACGAAACGTGCCTAAAGAGGTGCTAATGGAATATACAATTGGTTGCTGCCACGGCAAACAAAACTCACCGAAATTCAAGAAAATCTTGAACACGATACCAATATAAGCTTTTAAGGCCACCTGAATGTATTTATAAAACTAAATTGTGAAAATTTCCGTCCTTGATTTCAGACTTTTGTGTTAAACAGCAGTCTTATTGTCATTAAAAAATAACCTGCTGCCTGAATTATTTTTGAAGAATTGTTTCATTCAAAAATTGTTTTTAAATTTCGAGGTAATTCCATTTTTTTTATATATATCACTGATGATTAAATCCCTGAATTAATGGCATACTTTTGGGAACAAACAAAACAGTTTTTGAGTCCCTCAAAGATAAAACAACATAACCCTGTTTCACATGATTAAGAATTTAGTAAGTAAAACGCAGTGAGCTTAAAATGATAAAGCATTATTGTACACCGGATCAAATCGGTTAGCGTGGTGCTTGTGATAAAGCGACTCCATTGCCAAGGCTAAGAGCGTTATATTTTATCATCACGCTAGCATCCGCATGACATGACAATTACCAAACGAAATCCAGATCACAATTAAGGAAGGCAGACCCTCTTCAACTCTTACGTAAGGCCTTACGTAATGGGAAACCTTCATTTCCATTTGGCCGCCATCATAAATGCCGGGAAATTTACTTAACGCTAATGCGCTCACCGCCCAAAGTTAAAGCCTAATTACGTTAAAGCCAAAAAGACGTCAGCTAAGGAGCTCAGTTGTGGCAGACAGTCGGACATGAAGGGCGGCGACAGAATCTCCTGACCATCTTCAGAAAGCCAGACACCTTGTCCAACTACGCAGACCACAGACAGACATTCACACCCGGCCACAGAGAAAGAAGACGGAGTGCGGGGCAGTGGGGGGGGGGTTGAGGTTGGCAGTCCATAAATATCTATCTGTCGGCAAATCTTGGTCCAACTACAACTTGGCCAGCAGAACGCATCTGCTTGTGCTTTGCTACCTCGCCTTGCTACCCTGGAGAAGGTATAACAGGTCCTGGCAAACGCTTTGCGGCTAATTGAGCTCGCCAACTTCAGGTGAGACTTTAGGAGGTGTTACCAAAAACTCTAGACGTTTCACTTTAAACGGTCTTTAGAAGTTAACTGTTATAGTGATTGTTACCATATCAAATCCAAAAAATAGATTTTGCCTAACTAACTTCAGACTAGTAACTATAATATTGTAATAGAGAAGTAAGAAATGTGTGAATACTTGTAACATCGTTATTAATTCACAATAAAAAAAAAAAAAAATGAAGACTTGTAATCAGGATAAAAGGTGCCTGAAAGTATGCTTTGATATATTTAAGACCGACAATCGCATTTTTATCAATCAAAAACAAATTATATATTAACCACAGGACACTTTGAGTTAATTTTTGAAGGGGTTTTAAGCCTCTATTACATACCATTTATCATTTAAATTTAGTTAGTCAAACTACATTATATAAAAGAAATTTAATTCCTCAAGGGTATTAAGGGTATTGTTTCCTGGTTTTTCAATTCCTTAACCTTGCTTTTCAGTTCGGTTGTTGTTTCGCTTGTTGTTGTTTGGCGTTGTTTGCATTAGTTGCTGTGGCTGTTGTCGCCATCAGTGGTGCTGGCACTGCGGTGGTGCGGTGGTGCTTTGCTTGCTGCTGTCGCCTTGGCATTGTTCTTGGATTGGCATTGTCATTGTCAACTGGGCGACGTCCTTGTTGGTCCTGCACGTTAATTGTTTCACGTTCGGATTGGCCTCAACTCGGATTGAATTGGATTGTCTAAGCCGAGTACGCAGAACGCAGAACGGAGAATGGAGAATGGAGACGACGACTAGGAACTCTATTAGTTTTAATTAAACAGCTGAGCGTCTTGGCCAACTAATTATTGTGAATGCCAGTGGCGGCGTGCGAAAGGGATGCCCAGTCCGTTTTTAATCATTGTAATTAATGTGCGCTTGTTAATAACAATTAAATGCATTTTTTTTTTCAACCGCAACCGCCTCGTCTCCTTGGACCCGATGCTTTCCTAAATATTTTTTTTTATTTAGCCAGCGTCTTGGGACTTGAGCCCTGACTTGGCTTTGTCTCAAGCATTGCCTGGCAACACAATTAAGCATTTAATCAATACAATTAAAGCCTTGAGCTCAAGCGAACATCATTAAAAGAAAGGAGCGGAGCGGAGCAACAAAGGCAAACGGTCATATAAAAATAAACATAAAACAAAGCAACAATTCAGCAACCCAAAAAAAAAAAAAAAACAGAAAAAAGCAACAGCCCCCGAGAATGGCGGCAAATAAAAGACTCACAAAACTCCACAGCAAAAAGAAGACCATTTGGATACGACCTTAAAACACCCTAGTTGTCTTGTTAAATTAAAAAAATATATGTCAACTAGAGTGCTAGAACCTCCCAAGAAGATTTAAAGTCAGCCAAAGGCTTAAAACTACTAAAAACAACGAAATTAAAATCTAAAAAATCAAATTTTAGGGATTTTTTTGGAACATTTATTGTATTTATTACTTTGTATCCTTCGATTGATCGGTATATATATTTTTTCCAAAAACCGAGTCTTGTATTTCCTTTTACTTTTTTCTGAGAAGTGCTGTTTTCTCGGCTTATATTTTGACCGGTACTTACATTTGGGTACAAAAAAAATGAGTTATAATCTGCCAATTTAGTTTTTTTCACTTTGCTTTGCCATTGGCGGTTAACCTTTTTATTCTCTTTCTTGAGATTCCTTGATTACATTATTAGATGCTGTTGGCGATTTCTCAGGACTAAAAAGAAACCTTCTAGTTTTTCCAGTGGGAAATTGTCGTTTTCGCGATCGATGCATCGGCATTGGTATCGGGGAGTTTTGGATTATAGTGCCAGGCGACCCACAGAGGAGAGCAGTGCGAAAGCTGGATTAAAACTTTTTCTAGGAACCAAATTTAAGCCCCACACAAGGATGCCCGCACTGCCTTCATCCTTTGGCAACTAAATCCCCAGTGCGCGTTGCCTTTTATGACTTGGCGGAAAACGGCGGGGACAGAAACGGAAAAGCGGCAGAAAAACAGTGCAAGTTTTTACGCAAATAAACGCACGTATTTCACAACTTTGCGCCACTTTCGTTTTCATTTCGGCGTTTCGGCATTTCTCCGGCTTTTTTTTTGTCTTCGTCGCCGTCCGTCCTTTTTTTGTACCTTTTTATTTTTTTTTTCACCCATACCGCCAGCGGTAAAATTGGGGAAAATGCCGAAAATTCGCTGCTAATGGAAAATAGTAATTACAATAATTTGCCCGCTCGTTTGCCTTTTTCTTTGTCTGCGTCCGGTCGGTCGCCTTTTTTACTTTTTTACTTATATACTTTTTTACGTTTTGCATTATTCATCTGATAGCTGCAGGTGACAACGGCAAACGGTAAAAATAATAACCAACATTAAGCCGTCAAGTGGGCGGGCAGCATCCCGCCTATCTGTTGCTCGTGTGGGCGTGTGTAAATTAATAATAAATCAAAATTAAATGTTTGCTTACTTGACACTTTGGCTTCCTCCTCCGGGTTTTTGTGGTACGTGTCCGCTCTTATATTTTATTACTTTCTGCTGAGTTTTACGTTTTATTTATTTATTTTTGCTTCGCTTTGCTTTGCTGGCACCGGAAAAAAAAGAAAAAAAAAATTGGTTTCAGAGGCAATTAATTCCGACGAATCGAATAGGGAAAATCAGGGTAGACTTATATTGTTTTTTTTTATTTCAATTTAATTAAAGTCCTAGCATGGCAAATTCAAGATGAGAAACGTTCTTTGGCTTTTGATTTGGTATTTTTTTTAAATATTATTTCAACTTCCTACGCGACCAATTGAGGCAATATTATCAACTGAATTGGAGAAAATCCAGTGAGAAACTTAATTATGATTCTGTGGAATCGAACAAAAGGGCGGTCTATTTTCAGAAGGTGCTTCTTAATTGTTTTCGCCCGCGGATGTGCAATGCAAACCATTCAATACAGTGCAACGGGCGGACAGAGTCAACATAAAAATTCATTTGTCGGTATAATAATCCGTCAATAATTCGCATTGGCTGGCAAACAATGCGAGCAGCTCGGTGGGAGTATCAAAAGCGGACATCAAGATGCCCCAACTCGATTATCACATAGCTTAACAATGGGCATCAATCAGGCTCCAGTCGCAGGAGGCTTATATTGTTTTCAATTAACACCCCCCACCCCCCACTGTAGTTTGACCGCTCATAAAAATTGACAAGTTCGCCCACACACTCGTTGCCAATCGAATTTATGATTTTCCAGCACTTTGTTTTTCCTGACACTTGTGAGTTTCGAAGCAGGAAAACAAAAAAACCGGGGTAAACATGCTACATGACTTTTACACGTTTTTTAATGCGCCCTCAGCACCATCAAAAAACAAAGGAAAAGGCAACAACTTTTATCAGCTTTTTACACTCACTTTAATGGAGTTTGTAACAAAACGAAAAAAAAAAAAAAACATGACACAACAAACAAATTGCTCAAATAACTGGGACTTCGATTTACCATCAATGCTGGGAATTCACTTGATTCAGAAATTGAATTGATCGGAACTGGTTATTGAACAGTGGTGTTAATTGCGACGGATTAGCGCCAATTGCTTTGGCTAGATGGTCGAATGTCGATGGTCGATGGTCGATGGTCGACGGTCGGTAGCTCCGCTCGAGCCGAGTTCAACTTGTTGTCGCGTTGCTGCCCAAAGAGCAGTGAATCCTGGCTCGCAGAGGCTGAGGACTCGACTCGATCCGAGGATGTGTGTGCGGCCAGCAGCGACGACGATGAGCACGAGAATGAACGCGAATCTGCCAGCCGAGCGGCAATAGCAGCAACACCCGACGGGACACGAGTCCTTGCCCAATGCTCGTCGGAGTGGGGTGGGGTGGGGGGTGTCGACGATGCAGCCTCATCATCGCTTTGTTTGTGTGCGTGTTAAGCGTACGCATGTATCTGCCAGCAGCGGCAGACGCAGCAACAGCATCCGACGAAGGACACTGCCAAAAACAAATCATAGGATTTTCAAAAATAATAAATAAAATATAAAAATAAAAAAAATCAGGTATTTTTGTATTTTAAAAATTAAAAATATATATTTGAGTCAATAAACATATTTCCTAAAAAAAATATATGTAAAAAGAAAACAGAATATTTCGTATTTAGAAAATTTGACAAAAAAAATTTGGTTAAACAAAAACTAACAACAAACAATTATATTTTAAATAATTTAAAGTTTCCCTAAAAACAACTTTAATATTTAAAGCGAGAACACTACAATCAAATCAATTTACAGAATATTTAATAATATTACAACTATCAAATCAAATAAACTAAATTAAGCTGAAATTTTTCAATCATTTTTCCAAGCTCTGATTATTGGGACTTTCGTTAAAGGTATTTTTTTTTCTTAATTTTTTGTACTTACCGCATAGTCAAACTTAATTTATTCGTATTTTAAAAGTTTAATAGTTTCAATATGTAGCATTTCATGTTCTTGGTATATTTAGTCAAGATATGTTTTGCTAAAGATTGCGCCTAATCACAATTTTAATTTTTCGAAAAAAGGCTCTATGGTAGTTCCTGTATTTTTCCAAGATCCGACTATGTTTCGTCAGTTATTAAGTGTTGAATGTGTCATTTGGGCTTACCAACATTAATTTTAAAGCCATTTGAAAAAGGTGACCACGACTTGACCAATCTGAAAAGGTGTACAGCTGATCGGTTGAACTTTTAATGTGAATGAATTAAATGTTAGCTTTTTAATATTTTGTGCTAAATTTTGAGTACCACTTTTAGTGATGTAAATGTACTGCAAGTTCCGGTGACTTAGTTGCGGAAGATCCAAGATCTAAATGTACTTAGCCATGTTATGAAGCTTTAAATACGGGCTACAGTAACCAGCTGAGAAACTATTAAGTGAACAGGACTTAAATAAATGTGTGCCATTTTTGTGGTGTCCCATTTCGCTCCGTGCAGCAGCAACAACAAGTGGTAAGGTTTTTTTCGGCACTCGACTCGGCTCGTCCGCTGCATTCGTCTTCCCGCTTACTCACATATACATGAATACATGAATACACACGGTTGCCGAAGGAGGCAGTTTAGTTTGTATGTATGCGTCTCGTTGCGCCCGTTATTGGTTTCGGTTTCAGTTTCGTCTGCTTTTTCGCTTTCGTTTTCGCTTTCGCCTGCGCCTTTTGTCTTGCTGTTGCTTTTGCCTTTCCCGTTGTATTTGCTGTTGCTTTTGCTGTCGTACGCCTCTTTTTTCGGTTTGATAAGCTCCCGCTGGGTGGCGCCACCAATTAAAATATTTTTCACAAATTAAACAAACACAAAATAAATCCGACGAGCACCAAAAAAATAGCAACCGGTCGAAAGTTGTACACCACTTTAACAAAGTTGGCCACACGCCACGCCCACCCAAAAGAAAACACACACACACATATGTCAGGGGCGGAAGGAAAGGGGGGACTAGATTTTCATTTAGCAGATTTTGGCCTTTTCCGCTGTGGGTCAACAAAGTTTTTTCATTTTTTGTTTTTCTTCTCTATTTTTTGATGAGCCGAAAATGCGGGGGCGCATCCAGAAGGTGAGCTGCCAAAGTTCCATGGCGAATTCAATTACTCAACTCGTAAGCTATGTATGTATGTGTGTCCGCTCCACAGATCCACTAGAATATAAAATTTAAATACAGTTATTTAAAAAAGCTTTGAGATATTTCTTAATGTCCTACTTATCAGATAAAATAATCAATTGAAGATTACAAAATTTATTGCTTAAAAACTTAATGTAAGTTTTAAACAAATTAGATCTAAAATAAGCTATATAAGCCTTTGTGTTACCCCTTAATATCAAGTCTAAAATATAGCTAATCGCAGGGATACCCAATCGTTAAAGCATCAGTTAGGGTATTCAAATAAGTATCGCTCTTTTGACCAGAAAGTCCTCTCCTAATCTCTGAAAATAGAATAACATATAGAGACTAGACCACTGAGAAAATAACTCGCTCAGTAGACAGCTGCTTTTAGAATGGATCTGTTGTTCCTCAGCCGGCGAATTTTTCTGGGCGATGGCAGCCAAGACTCCCTGATCCATGGCGGCATTATCGTGGACACGGAGGGCATTATCCGGAAGGGTGAGTCCATTGGCCAGTCTGCATCTACTTAAGACCCACCTGATAGTTAAGGCCATCCGTAGTGCTACGTTCGCCGCAGGAGGTCAACACCTATCTGTACAACACCGAGTCCGAGTCGGTCTATGATTTCGGTGACCTGTTACTGATGCCGGGCCTAATCGATCCCAATGTGCACATCAATGAGCCGGGCCGCAAGGACTGGGAGGGTTTCGCCACGGCCACAAAGGCGGCGTCGGCAGGTGGCTTCACCACCATTATAGACCGACCCACCAACGCCACCCCACCCACCGTGAGTGTGGCGGCTCTCAAGGCCAAGACTTCCACGGCACGGGGAAAGATCTACGTGGACGTGGGCTTCTGGGGTGGCCTCGTTCCCGGAAACGGAGATCAGCTGGCCCCTCTTTTGGCCGCCGGCGTTATGGGTCTCCAATGCACCCTGTGTGATTCGGCGTCGCCCGTCTCCCAGGAATTCCCAGCCGTAAACGAAGCTCAATTGGAGGAGGCTCTCGTCCGGTTAGAAAAGGATCACGATGAAGGCGAGGCTATCATAGCGGTGAGTAAAAAAATGATCTAATGTCACATGTGATCGGCAATCGACTGTTTGTGCTAGGGAATATAGTTTACAATTCACGTTGATTGATAGGGATTGTATTATTTCTATTATTGTACATTGCTGTGATGATTAGAAAAACATGTGCCCTGTAGGCTTTTTTTGTGCTGTAAGGACTTTTTTATCAGTAGCTACGATGAATGACGTACGGTATATATAAAAATTAACTGCGATAGAGATATTTAGGAGTGTTTAATATGGGTTTCTGAATTGGAACTGATTTTAGATTTGTGCTTTTTTTTCTTTAATAATAAGAATTATATTAGTTATGTATTATAAAGTATGTATTGACATTTTAAATAGAATAGTAAAAACAGATCTATCTTTTATCTGTAGCTTAGTTTGTTAATTCGTCTGTGTTAATTTAAGCTCTAGTTAGAATCAAATTTTATTGATTATAGCTAGCTATCTTTTTTATATTTTAGATAGCTCTTTAAAATAAATTATCGTTTTTGGGTTGCACAGTGGCAATTTGGCAAAACTGGTGAACATTGCATCTTCTTTTGCAGAATATATACTTTACCGATCTTTGCTTGTTCTTTGTTGTTCCGAGCTTGTTGATGACACGATTTGTCCACTGATAAATAGAGCAGCGCATAGGCGGTGGAATATGTAGTCGTATGTGAACTCTTTCATAGCCAATGCTATTATATATCGGCGGATTGAGTAGAAAGTGTGAATTATTTATTTAGTTTCGCTGGTGTTACCCAAAAATAACTTTTACATTTTCTTTACTTTTATGACTTTCTGTGATTTTAAGTTTTCAAAAACTTCGTCCTCTCAATTCGTTACAGTATACAATACAACCCATTTGCAAGAGTTTAAAGATCCAGTTTCTGATTATTCAATAGAAATATTGCAGGTTATTATTATTATTAGTTTTAGAAGTTTGTCAACTCGGTTTTGATAAATTTCTCTAGTTTTGTTACATTCTACGACTTCTCCAGCAACCAAAGCATAGTCAGTTGTCTTTTTGATTAGAAATTGTGAGATTCCTTAGAATGTTATACTTTGATTAGTTTTTAAGTTGAATTTGTGTTCCATCTTATATGAGGTATTTTAATAGACACGAGTAAGCTTACTATGAGGACCTTCTGCTTTGAAGAACTAAAGAATGGCACAACCGTTCGTATCGACTGTCGAAATTGAACTGCAGGCTCTTTAGGTTTCCCTATTAAAGTTGATTCCCCAAATTGAACAAGTGAAGAGAGTGTCAGTTAACCAAGTGCCACCCTTTCCACATCCACATCCGGCAGGTGCACGCCGAGCTGCCGCTGACCACAGAAATCCAGCCGGACGAGGAGGCGCCCCGGGAGTACGGCACATTCCTGGCCACCCGGCCACCGGCGATGGAGATTTCGGCGACGCAGTTGCTCTGCCGACTGGCACGTCGCCACCCGAGGCGTGGCATCCACATCCTGAACGCGAGCAGTGGCCAGTGTCTGCCGCTGGTGGAGGAGTGCCGACGCGGGGGGCGGCCAGCCTGACGATGGAAACCTGTCCGCATTATCTGACCCTGGCGGCCGAGGAGGTGCCCGAGTGCGGCACGGAGTACAAGACATGGCCACCGATACGGGAGCGCAGGAATCGGGACGCGTTGTGGGAGGCTCTCAAGGTGGGCGGGGCCATACGGATGATTGGTAGCGATCACTCACCGGCGACGCCCGGCGCACGCGCCCTCACCTGCGGCAGGGGGCGTGGCAACTTCCTGAAGGCCTGGCCGGGCATCAATGGGCTGCAGCTCAGCCTATCGGTTGTCTGGACGGCAGCCAATCAGCGGGGTAAGTGCATGGAGCACTCCCCTCATTAGTGAAACATTCCTAGGCTGTGAATAGCAAATATCAAGTATACGCAGCGTATGCAGTTGCAAGGGGTTGCAGGCTTATATATAGTGGAATCACTATTATCACACGCAAACATTTCTCGGAGCCGCTTGAAAGCATTCGAATTGAGTGTTTGTCCTGCTTTCCAGGAATCTCTGAGCTATTTCTAATGCATTCGCATGAGAAAATCGTCTGAATTTTATAATTTATTTTAATTGGACTTTATGCAAATTTAACTGGATCTCTTTTAATTTAATATCAAAAGTTTATATTCCAAAGTTTCTCATTTAAATCCTATATTTTTTACATAATTTGTATTTTAATTGGAGCCTGTTTTTAAATGATTTGTTTTACAAAGTTAGCAGAACAAAGATATATTTAATATGTTCATATTACAATTAAATAGAATTTATTTTCTGAAATGCAAATCCTAAAAAAAATCGTGATAGAGATTAATGCATCTGCTTAATTTTCTATATATTAAATTACCATGCAAATGCTAAAGGCTTTTAATTCAAGAAAAGGCATTAAGTCTTAAGTCTCTTTAGAAAATATAATCATGTAACAAACTGGTTCTTTTTGAGTTATCAAAACAGACTCCCTAAACACGATTTTACACTTCACCCACTACTATTCTCAAGTCATCCATTTTTTTTACATATTTTCCAGGATCCGCCTTGAGCATTGCCGACATCCACCGGCTGATGTGCCAGGAGCCGGCGATCCTGTGCGGTCTGTCCGCCTCGAAGGGCCGCATTGCCGAGGGCTTCGACGCCGACTTCTGTGTGTGGAGTCCCGAGGAGGAGTTCACCGTGGGTCCGGAGCTGCTCTACACGGCCACCAAGGCGACGCCGTATGCGGGTCAAAGGTTAAGGGGAGTGGTGCACGCGACGGTGGTGCGGGGACTGCATGTCTATCAGCAGTTCGAGGGATTCGGCCAGCCTTTGGGCAAGGTGCTACTGCGACGGACCAGCCGCAAACTGGTCAAGTTCGTGAGCATGTGAGGAAGTGGATCTGCAGAAAACTTTGTTAATTAAAATCATTAGGAGATTGGGCTGTGTTCGTTGGTATTCCGTAGCCACTTTCCTTTTCCTACTAATACCCTATCGCAGGGTATGGACATTTCCACAATATATTTTGGCAAATAAAGTAGACCTATATCAATGCCAAAACTAGAAGAATATAATCAGTTTGCAATAGATTACTGGGACACTCCCGAAAAATCATTAAATGCTGATAACATGTAACAATAACATTGCCTACTTTCAGACATGCTTATAATTGGCTTACGAATCAGGTATTATTACCTAACAAGTTGCCAAACAAATATCTTTCAATAACAAAATCCCTCATATTATGTCACAAAGAAGGACTTATCATATTAAAAAGAACGATATCAACTTGTTGACAACCTGTTTTTATTTTGTATTTGCTTTTTTTTTTTTAAAGATAATTGTGTGTGGCTTTTTGATAGTGTTTAGAGTAACGAGCGGGGCACTAGGCCCTTTGTGGACACAGCCCTGGAAGTTGGCTTCCCATTTCTGTTTTCCCCTTCCTTGGCCGATTTCCTTGGAGCTTCCTTCTGCCGCCGCTCGAAGGATAGGGTGGAGGATTGGGGTGCCAGGACGTGCAACAAGTTGTCGCGTGGCAACGCCAAGTAAACATGACACCAGGCCACCTCACCATCCACCCACCACCCAACCCTCGCATGTGTGTTCGCCCCGCGCTTTACCGCCGCTTTTCCAGCACTTTTCCAGGCATGTGGATGACAGCTTAAGTTTGCTTGCCAGGCGTCAACTCAATTTCTGCACTACACCCATATGTGCTCGTGTGCTTTCATGTGGGTGTCGGCCAAGAGGCGTGTTTATCTAAGCGGTGGGGCGCATCAGGCAGCAGGTTTATGCCGTGATTTAGTTGAACTAGAAGAATCCAAATTCATCTGCACGCCAGTAAGCCATTGATGGATTTGCACACGGAGAAATAGGTTCAACAAAATAATCGGGAGGTTTAAAACTACCTTGAAATCTGCTTAAAAGTATGCTATACAAATAACTATTGAATAAAAAACAAGTTTACCTAGGCAGCTAGTAAATAAAAAGAGTACAAAATGTATAATATTTATTAATTCTACACAGAAAGCAAATTGACTCGATTTGATGAAATTTAGTCAATTTAGTTATTTAGTCTAGATACTTGGCATATGCCAGTGCAAAAGCGGGACAACATGATCAAAATACAGCAGTTCGAATATCGACAATGTCTTTCTCCCTCTAACTCACGGTACTTTTTGTCGCTTTCGATTTGAGAGACTTTCATAGAAAGAGAAACCAAAAAATAATCGATTTCCAAAATCAATTTTACATTTTTTTATGGTAAAAGTGATACGAGTTTATAAATATTGAATCGATATGTGATTATCAAATTGATCTTCGCATTTATTGGTTTGCGTTGATTAAATTGTGTGTACTGTCAGCTCGTTATTTCATATGCAAAGATTTATTTTTTAATTATCCAATTTAGATGATTTTTCTGGCAATGCTAGGCCAAGTTTTTTATTTTTTTCTCTGTGCGGGGCACAAAAGCAAGGTGAAAGGGGAGCAATTTAGACGGATTGGGGCAGGCGGACATAGACAGAGGGATCGGCGGCAGAGCTGTCAATCAGCGCGGACAACGCGACCCACGCATAAACCGCTTTGTCTACGTCCTTTTCTGCTTTACTCCGGGTGATAGAAATAGATATGGAAATGGGAATGGAAATGGAAAAGGAAAATGAATAGGAAAAAGAAATAGCAATAGCAATAGAAAGGCGGAGGCTTGGCCAGCAAATACACCTTCAGCTTGTTGATGTGCCAGTTGTCTGGTGACGTTGCGATTTTCCGCCTTTCTTTGTTTTTCCCTTGCCATCTATGCTGGGTATTGCGTGTCATATTTTCCCTGCCACCCGGTTTGTTTTCTTCCTGCCTGTTGCCATTGCCATCGCCATCGCCATCGCTGTCGACCTCCTGCGTCATTGATGCCCACGCTCGCCCAGCGGTCTTAACCCCACTGCGGTGCCGCTATATTTAGCCCCCAGGAATGGAAACTTTTGCGAAAACTAATTTGTGAATTATTTACTATTAAAAATATATGAAAAACAAGAAAGGAAAGCTAACTTCGGACGGAGCCGAAGTTGATATACCCTTGCAGAATATTCTGTAAATTATATTCTTCAAAATTATTCATATGATGTATTCTTAATACTCATAAAATGTCCCAACTTCCTAACTTTAAAAACACCAAAGTTATGTCATTTCCAATCGTTCAGTAATATGGCAGCTATAGGATATAGTCGGCCGATCCTTATGAAATTTGGTAGGTCGGATTGATTGGCCAAATATAAAACCTGTAGAAAGTCTTAACTTTCTAACTTTACAAACACCAAAGTTATGGCATTTCCAATCGTTCAGTTATATGGCAGCTATAGGATATAGTCGGCCGATCCTTATGAAATTTGGTAGGTCGGATTAATTGGCCAAACATAAAACTTATAGAAAATCCCAACTTCCTAACTTTAAAAACACCAACGTTATGGCTTTTCCGATCGTTCAGTTATATGGCAGCTATATGATATAGTCGCCCGATCCGGCTCGTTCCGACTTATATACTACCTGTAATAGAAAGACAACTTTTGGGAAAGTTTCAAGCAGATAGCTTTAAAACTGAGGGACTAGTTTGCGTAGAAACGGACGGACGGACGGACAGACGGACGGACAGACGGACAGACGGACAGACGGACAGACGGACAGACGGACATGGCTATATCAACTCAGGAGGTGATCCTGATCAAGAATATATATACTTTATAGGGTCGGAAATGTCTCCTTCACTGCGTTGCAAACTTTTGACTGAAATTATAATACCCTCTGCAAGGGTATAACAAAAAAACCCTGAGCGATTGTGCACTTGCGTGGTTGCTAAAATAATTACACAAAATGTTGTGTGCATATTTAGTTGTCTAACTTTTTTGTATGCAAGTGGCCGACGAAATGTAATCAATTAAATGATGTAGCGTAAACCGCAAATGGGTTAGCACAAATATTTAAATGCACTTTGCTCAGCAAGAGAAAAACTATTTGCACACAAATATTTTTAATTCACAATTAAATGATTAGAGATGTAACTTGAAACAATTTGAAAGTTGAGAAAAGGTTTTATTTCATATGCAATTTTTTTTTATTTTAGTATAACATACTTTTTGTGTTGCTTAGCGTGTTTCTTTAATTTTTGCATTATTAGGCAGGAATTATAAACCCATTTGTGGGTTAATTTTGCGGGCTTATGAATTTTCCGCATTGGACTAAGGATGGTTTTTTTTCGTCTAAGCTTTGCGATTTGCTTAACGCGCCGCTGAACAGCTTTCATTCCCATTAAATAAATGCCACAAGCAGATCACAGTTTCAAATCATATTAAACGCTGCGCGGGGACGGCTGAGCGGTGCCTTTGAGTGGATTTCGCCTGTCACTGGCGGGCAACTTGGCGTATACTCGATGTGGCCTGTTACACGTAACGCATACGCCATGTGAGCCACACGCGACAACGAAAACTTTCGCCCGTCAAGCCTGGGGATGTGGGTGGGGCAGGTGGATACAGGAGATTGAATTTGGGCTAGAGGGTTAGCGAGAAAGGTAAACATTACGCATTCGCAGCGTTGGCAAAGTAAAATGTTATACCCGTTTGCCCGAAGCCATGGCCCAAAAAAGTCGGTAAGGAAATTGGGGGTATAATCATTTGAAAGCGTGACTTGACCCCGACAACGAAGGATAAAATCTTGGATTCTGAAATAAGTAAAGTTTAGCACGCGCTAATGCACAGGTGCGGTCAAAGTAATAGCACCTAGAAGATTACACATTCATTGCATATGAAATTATAATAGCATAATATTTTTAAGATCTAAATGGATAATTTTTAATAATTATGTAGAGATACCAATAAGTTTTATTGGTATGTGCTTTATATATTGTCTTGGGTTAAATGTTAAATGAAAACCGCAAATGCCACTCGCTTTTCTGAGATATGGACAACTAATAGAGATGGCATATGGGGATTATACATAGATGGCACTTCTTAGCAACTCTCCCCATCCACCTCTTCTTTCCTCTTTCTCTGCTTCACACACTTTTGATAAGTCACCATGGAAACTGACACCGAAAAGTATGCAGCACTCGGTGCGTCTGCGAGCGAGGGAAAGAGAAGGTAAGAGTTTCCACTGCGTGTGCGCAAGCGAGTCGGCAAGCAAGCTCTGCTACGGCATAACTGTGCGCTAAGGCGATAACGTCAGCTGCTATCTCGCTCTGGCTTAGCTATTTAAAAATATTTATGCATGCATGTGTGTGTGGGTGTGGGTGTGAGGTAAAGGTGAGTAAGAACAAGAACAACGACGTCGACTTTGACGTGGCGTACTGCTCTCTTTGTTGATGTTGTTGCTGTTATTGCTGTTATTGCTGCTGCTGCACAAGAAGTTACTCCAACGAAGTAACGGCCAATTACGAAACAATAGAGGGAGCCAGAGGGAGACGGAGAACGGGCGAAAGAGAGAGAGGAAGCTCCAAATCATATGCTCGCTCAGCTGTGTTGTGTCAGTTCTGCCGGCGTCGCCGTTGGTTAGTCAGTCATCATCAGTGCTTTTTAGAGCTACGTAGAGAACAGACGGCCTTCCCAAAACACACACACAAGCAAGCAAACACACACAAGCACTCACGACCACACAAAGGCGGCAGAAAACAAAAACAAAGAGCATCCGAGGTGGCAGCAGCAACAAAGGTGACGATTCAAAAGCAGCAAATTTTTAGCGCCAAAAAAAAGAAAGCAACAAAGAGCAACACTTTTTTTTCTCAGTGCTTAAGTGTTTATAATTATAGCTCTACGATATACATGTGTGTGTGCGCGAGCGTGTAATCAAATACAAATCAGTAAAATAACAAAAATCTTGACGTAATCGCTGAAATGCAAAGCAAACGACACGAAAACAAGCAACAATAACAAAGCGATTTAAATTCCTTTTTTTTTTTTGTGTTTTCGGTTTTTAATTTGCAGCTTACGAAAAAAAGAGACAGAGCGAAAACACACTCGCGTGTTGTGTTGTAGTAGTTTTTTTTTGTCGTGTAGTGCCCGTGTTTGCCGTTATGCAAAGATTTTATTGTTATTAGTCAGCAAACGTCAACAGTCAGCAACAACAAAAAGAGCAACATCCAAAACGGGTAAGCGATAAACACAAATACAGTTGAGCTTCCTTAACTCGAATTTCCCATAACTTAAATAAATTTCCATACCATTTTCCATTCATATATCTATAAGTAAAACCACAACATCTCGAATTCTCTTAAACTCAAACTTAAAATTGGTTTTAAAAAAAAAAAACCTATTCCAGCGTCATAAGCACGACAACTAATTTCTTACTTATATTCCCTTTAACATAATATATTTATTTATTTATACAAAATAATTAAAACTTTGATTGGCATGTGATAGCTCCAGTATTCGAAGTTCTACTGTATGCTGAGGGAATGCGAAAGAGCGAGAAAGTGGGGGTGGAGTGTGAGTGTGCGCAAGTGCAACAACAAAAACTCTTTCGAGTGCGGATCACCAACGGTGTAGAGAGGGAGAGTATGAGTGAAGTGGATGCGAATAACAGTGACGCAAAAGAGGCAAGAAGTGAAAGAAGGGGGAGATGGAGGCGCGGATTATGCTTATCAATGAATTATTAACAAGGAGCGGGGAACGAAGGCGCCGATAACGCAATGTCACACATAGAAAGAAATGGTTATGATATGATGATTATCGAACCATTTCGAAGATTAAATATTTCATTATGAACCAAATTTTAGAAATGTAAACATTCTCATTACATATACAAATAACATTTATAAAAGTAAAAAATTAACAAGAATAAAGTGTGCGCTTATTTACAAAATTTCCAATTGGCATATCAAAATGATATAAAATATTTAAATACCTATAAACACTTGTATGTATTAGATATCTACTTTTCGATTTCATATCGAGCTCTTTTTTCTCTTCAACCTTATTGCCTTGACAGTGCGATAAAAAATCGGTTAGAATTGACGCAATCGTAAACTCCCGCTGGCTAAGGTGGGGGAATCACTAAAAAAAAGTGGAGTTAGAAAACGCGGATCGCAGCCCCATTGCTAAACAACCCCTTTCCACGAATTCCCGCTAATCGTACACATTTAAAGAGCTCAACTGGTTGGGACCGTCGTGCATAATTATCCAGCAACTACGCCGAGCTGATAACACAAGGCTCCCCTTTCAGCTGATAACACACACACCGGTAAAAAATAGCTGGTACCAAGTAAGGCGAACAAAAACCGAGCGTGGTTTCTGTTAATTGTTTATTATTTATTGTTTATTTTGGTCTGTTATTGCTATCACTGTCTGGATTTCTGGAAATTGTTGTCATGCTAATAATAATCCAATTGCTGTAAATTTAGATTTTCTTTAAGATGACACTATCAAAATATGCTTTTCATGCCCTTAAGTAAAAAGTAATATATTTCTGGCAGTTTTATGTTAAATAATATTAAAATTGCAAATTATTTGCTATGCCCCAATTTAGAAATCCAGTTATTTACGGTGCATGTTTTAAAGCGCGAGATGGGTGGGGGCTATATCAAAATTGTAGGGTGCCATGATAATCCTGGCGTTAAGCCATGTGTAGTACACCGTCTTCCCCTGTCTTTCTCTTTCTGTCTCCGTCGCTTAAGCGGACAGCACCTGTCGCTAATGGCTTTGTCTCGCTTGCACTTCCACCCTCCTGCTTTCTTCTGCATGTTTTTCTTGTTCTTGGCTTGTCCATGACAAGTAATAACCGTTGTGGACTTTTTTTGTTATTGCACATTCATTTAGTTTTAATTAATTCAGCCAAGCAAACAGCGTTAGAAAGAAAGGGGTGCTGTTGGGGGAGGGGGGCCAGCATGGATTCACCAACACGTTCGCAGAACGCAAACCAGCACAAACACCAACGCAGTGGAAACGAGTAAAAATAAATAATGCTGACGTCAATTTTGCGTACACCAATACACAGTGCGAAAAATGGGGACGAAAGGGGTGCTAGGGGATGCGGTTAGAGCAAATCGAAGCCAAAAGCAAAATGCAAACTGATTGGAATTGATTGAAATGCAACAGCAACAACTTTGAGCTTACTGCTAATGTCAAAAAGCAACAACTATTAGAAACAAAGCAAAACCGATGCTAAAATGCTCTAATCCAAAACAAAGTAAAGTTTCGGTCAAAACAATGACCTATGTGCTGTGTTTTCAAATTTGTGTATAAATTTTCCAATTTATTTTACTAAACGTTTTGTTTTATTTATTTGGAAAAACCTTTAAATCTTGGTTAACATGTAAAACTTTAATTTTAACTCCGAGGTCTTAGCATATAACAACCAACTTGGCGGATGGGTAATATTATTCTTTATTGCGTATACGCTTGCAGAGGCAAACTATTTTTGGGGTATTATTGAAATGTTTCATAGAAACGCTATCCTTTATTTAATGGTCTTTGCCAAAATGTCAAACATCGCGATCTGAAAATCTGTTCTTTCTGAAAAAAACAAGTTTGTAGGCAAATCGTTCACAACGTATAGATGTTCATGAATATTCATTAAATAAATTATATTTTGTACAGTGACTTTTTAACTTAAATATAGATATTGAATATAAATTTACGATTTAGTGTGACTTCTAAAACTTTTTCCATTTTTAGAAGGTTCATCAACAATAATTCTTATAATTTGAGGTGTTTCCGTGGTCAAGTGAGCAACTAACTGTATATAATCGATATGAATTTTTTAAAAATATTTTTTTTTTAATTTGTACGAATATGGTTTATTAAATAGCATGCCAAATATAGTAGGTGGTCTGAAATAAATGATTAATCTTTTTAACACTAAAATTTCGAGTTCAAAACTGTTATCATTTCTCTTTGTGTAGGAATGATACGGTACCCTAGTCCGCTTTGACTTCCGAATCGCAAACCGCATATTTCCACCAATTTATGGTCAGGCTATTGCGCTGACCGCAGGTGTACACATTATATAGTATAGTACACTAGAGCGGTATTTACAGTTCCTCTTGCGGCGACCGGCAAACTTCATTAGCCAGTGATGTCAGCCGGTGAAAAGGTAATACGGACTACGTCAGTATTTATGTATGAATGTCTGTTGGGGCAGTGAGTCAGTCGATGGGGTCGTTCAGACAGTCCGGCGTTTTGGTGCCCTCAACCGAAAGAGTGGGCGGTGGGCGGTGGGCGGTGGGCGGTGGGCGGTGGGCGGTGGGCGGTGGGTGGCACAGGGTTCGTGCGGCGTCGTAATTAATGGCAATTATTATGTCACTCAAAGGGAAGTCAATTGAAAAAGCAGCCTAAATAATGCAAATGGAATTGGAAATTCTATTTTTCAAAACAATAAGAAAACAGTCATTCGCCCACCATTGCACTAATTAACTATTAATTCAAAGCTGTTGCAGGCTTCAAATAATCCCATGTCTGTTTTCTTACCTCGCTTATGTTTCGAACTTGCCGCCAAGTTCTCGTGCGGTGACGTCATGGCCAACGCAAAAAGCCAATAATTATTGAGCTGTAAAGTAATTAGCCGAGAATATCATTTGGGCTAATTGTTTTTTGCACTTTGGTGCATACGCTGTTTTGAAAGGGCTAACAAAAAGGAAATCAAATAAAAAAAATTAAACAACTGCCTAGTATTTGCCACTTAAAAAAAGTTTTTAGTCACGCTTAAAGCCTTGGATATATTGCTGATTAAAAAATAATATTTTTTTTTGCACAGAAAAGCATTAAGACAAAAATTGCTAAAAACAAGATAATAACATAATTATTTAAACTATTAAGTTATACTTAACTGCTTTTGTTTTGGATTGAAAAATATTGAAAAAAATTAGTTTAGTAGAAAAAAGATTGGATCCAAATTTTATTTGTTGATTTAAATAAAAAACTCAAAACAAAGTCAAGTATTTAAGTCAACGATTCTTAATAATAAGTTTAAAAAAACTTTGTTTGGACTTTAAATCTATTTTAAGAATGGTGGAAATCAAATAAACATATATAGCATATCGAGTTTTAAACATTTTTAATTTTTCCGCTGGTGTTGGCCAAGTTCCACACCAGAATACAGCCGAGCTTCCCACCTTTGTGGTATTTTTAACTCTGGTTTCATCTGGTAGTGTTGCACACTGCAGGCACGGTCACACTTTTAAGCGAGTGAGCGAGCCAGCAATAAGCGAACGATTTTTGCGCAAAAACGGAGTTTATCAATAAATCGTTGCGAGCGATTGCATTGGCCGTAGGAACGCGATCATCGTCGTGCAGAACCAACAAATCCGCGTCTTTTACCGCCCAAAATTCGCGTTTCCGTGCTGCGAAAAGAAAAAAGAACGTAAGCAACGATAACAACAGGCAGTGAGCGATAGAGAGAGAGTGAGAGAGAGCAGTGCGGAGTGTTGTGTGTGTGCGTGCTGCCAACTTGTCGCACCAATTCGCTGCTGTTGTGTGTGTGTGTTCAGTGTGGTTCTCCCAAATAAAATTCAAACCTTTGCGCGACGCTATACCAATCATATCTGGAGTTTTAGGGCTACAACACCGATTTCCTATATTGCAATATATATTTTTTCCTGGTGATAGCGACTTTTCAACAAGTTGCCAGCGCAGCGTGCAACGCGCGCACACACGCACACACACACACGCGTTAAACACACGCAAGAGAGAGCGAGAGCGAGCAACAACAACATCAAAAGCCTCTCAGCAGCAACGTTTTTAGTGATGTCATCAGAAAGTAAGTTGATTTTTTCGCTGTGTGCTTTTCTTTTTGTTGCTGTTTTTTTTTGCCTCTTCGGACATGGACACACACACACACGCACACACAACGTTGTCATGACGTCATTCCACCGAAATACACACGGTGCGGTGTTATTGTTTTTGTTGTTTTGGGGAACTGAGTTCCATCAGTCAGCAATCGGCAGCACAATATAATCATCGTCATCACAGCGCACTCGTCATCGGGCCCCAAAACAAACGAACTAATCCCGCCCAGAAACTGAATCAGAAAAACCCGAAATACCGATAAACTGAAACCGTGTTATCCTTGACAATCCCATTGTAGAAACGTCTTCAAGCTGGCCAAATTGAAGCGGAAACGGTAGCCAAACTGAAGCACTTGTCGGAGAGCGTCTCGGTGCTGCTGAAGATCGCCAGGATCACCAACATGGACAACAGCATCGTCGAGGAGAACGGTAACTCGTCGGCGGCATCGGGCTCCAATGACGTGGTCGACGTCGTTGTCCAACAGGCGTCAGCGGGGGGAGGAGGAGGCGGTAACCCCCAGCAGCAGCAGCAACAAAACCCACAGAGTACAACGGCCGGCGGTCCAACGGGGGCGACGAACAACTCCCAGGGAGGAGGGACGGCCACCGTGCTGACCACCACCGCCAACTGCAACCTTCAATACCCCATCCAGGCGCTGGCGCAGCACGGACTGCAGGTGGGTTTCGGGGTCCAGGGGTCAGGAGCCTGGGTTCGATATAGAATAGTTTAATTCTATGAAATCCAAGGATCTAACAAGGATTGCAGTGCAGAAATTTCAAGAATTCTGGGACTGGGCATCGCCATTCGGTTAGGGATCCCAGGATTTGGTCAATCGGATTCGCTTCAAGACAAAAATCAAGTCATTTTGGTAGCAAGGGGAATCTTATTAAAATGAAGTTATTTCTGAAGATTTAAATAGGATAGCGGACCTCAATAAAATTAAGTTATTTGCAAGGATTACAGTAGGACAAAAAAACTCAACAAAATCAAGAAATTGTGCAGAAATTCACCAAATTACCCCGGTACTTATCCAATTGGATTTACTTTAGGATGGGTAAGCTGTATGAAATCAATACCTTAACAATAACTTCAGTGCAGAAACAATTCCTTCTAAACCGTAAAAAAATTACTGCAGGACTGGAAAACCCCACTGAAATTTATTCGGTATTATAGATTAATAGACCCATTAAAGTAACAACAATTACATTACAGTATTCAAAGATAGATTTATGATAGAAAAAGTTCATTCTAAGCTAGCTTATGTACATATATATTGAATAGATTTTGCATTGTTTTTAATTTTTAAAATAATTTAACATAACCAGTTACTTTTATTCTTATTGTCAATCGGTGGATACGATAGAGAAACCCATTGAAATTCCGAAATTTTAGTATAGACTAGGCTTTTTGACTAATGAATTATAATTATATATATTTCAAATGGTAATAGATTACAGATAGAAATATATTTCGTTTAGAATAATTAAATATTTGACGATTTAAATTCAGGTCAATAAAAAGCTTAAAAATGTAGTACAGATATTATTAAATTTTTACGACTCAAATGAATCCAGTTTGTCAGTTGAGCCCATGTTTCAGACCTACTCTAATGGTGAAATCTTCTCCCACAGGTGCAATCCGTGATACAGGCCAATCCCTCGGGGGTCATACAGACAGCAGCTGGAACCCAGCAGCAGCAACAGCAACAGGCGCTGGCCGCCGCCACAGCGATGCACAAGGTCGTCTACGTGGCCAAGCCGCCCAACTCGACGGTTATCCACACGACCCCCGGCAATGCAGTGCAAGTGCGTAACAAAGTGCGTAGCTCAAGGAGCGCCCACCGACCAGAACTGTACTAATTATTACCTCGCCCACAGATCCCTCCAACATTTCCGTGTAAGATCAAACCCGAACCGACCACGCAGCATCCGGAGGACAGCGACGAGAGTCTGTCGGACGACGATTCCCAGCACCACCGCAGCGAGCTGACGCGACGGCCGTCGTACAATAAAATCTTCACCGAGATCAGTGGACCCGACATAAGCGGTAAATCCGGGGGCCGACCTCTCCACCTGTCACCCCCACTCGAACACATATCTGTCGCTCCTAAAAAAAAAAACACTATCGCCTAACAACCCAAAGCATCGCCGAGCTGATCGCCCCTCATCGTTCATTCCAAGATGCACTTGCGCCTGGGGATCGTTTGATCAATCCCAGTTGGCTGGGTGATCGGCCAGTCCATCAGAAACCATTCATTACCCCAGTGTTTGTAACCCCATATTCACATTTCCTATTCATTTTGTACAGTTGCGGTTGGCTAAGTAACACTGATCATCAGTTGTAGTGCGCTTTAGCAAAGGATCCATTTGAAAATCATTAGATCAGATGATAGACTAGATTTTATATTCTCCATATCGATATTTAAAAACAGAACCATTGCAGCTTAATCATTACACTCTAATGTCCCAATTTGCTTTATTTTTTCTTAAATTTCAATAAAAACCATTTGGTCACACAAATTGCTTATTAGGGAAAGAACATTTTCTTGACTAAAATAATAAAATTTTGTCTAAATCTATGACTTATATTTGCTTATTATTTTTTTTATTGATAAAACAACATCTAACAAACGCAATGATTACTAGTTTTATTGTTATATTTTATTTGTAATGTATCTCTTTAATGGAAATAACCATCGTAATTTTATATTTTCGTCCAGACTAAAGTGTAATGGTTATAAAGGCATCTTGAGAATGACTCCATAACCTTATTTTGGAACGTTACAAAAAATATAGATTAGAGCTTCACGATTAGGGAACCCAGTTTTGTAAATATTTTGATCTCAACTGTACTTGTACATACAATAAATAGATTGTGAAGGACTTCCTGTTATATCCTTTCCCACTGGAATATAATTAGAAGCCGTACAAATTCGAGACCCGCCCGTTTTTTGCCGCCCCCTCATTGTCATTTAGTTGATGTTGTTGTTGATGTTGCTTAAACGAAGTGAAAATAATGAAAATGGAACCGAAAATGGGACGCGTTGTAGAGATTCCCAGATTCAAATTCCTGTAAATAAAACTCACGTACACTCTCACCCTCCCACCAAAACACACACACACACACACACAACAAGGGAGAGGACAGCAACAATAAACAATCGAATATACAATACTTACTGTAATTTAACCATTAAAAATATTGTTGTTGCTGCCTTCTCCACCTTTATTTTTAGTTCCTTCGCCCCGCGCCCTTTCTCTCTTTTGCTATCTCTCCCCCTCTCTTTCGCTCTCTGTCGTTGTTGTTGCTGTTATCGCTGTTGTTGTTGCTGTTGTTACACACAACCCATCATGCAAAAAAATTTTAATAATAAATCAGAAATACAACCAACCTCTCTCACCTAACAGTATTTTAACCGTTAACACTCTTTAACTAACCTATCTACCTATCTCGCTCGCTCGCTCGCCGCTCTCGTTCGCACTCACTCACTCAAGTTCATAAACCAAATCAAAAACAAAACTCAATTTGAATATTCAAAACTTTCGATTGAAAACTGGAAAATGGAAAATATGTTTTCTTATAATTTGTATTGTTGTTTTTTTTTTCATTGTTTTCTTTTCGAACGCCTTCCTCCACCCAACCCAAAACAAAAATCAAAATTAATTATGTCCTGAACAACAACCGCAACAACAACAACAACTCAACAAAAATCGACAACTAAATCCCCGATTCGAATTCGAATCGGAATCGGAATCGTAATCAAATTCGAATCGAATCGAACCCACTCCCAGGCGCATCGCTTCCCATGTCCGACAGCGTACTCAATACACAACTGGCGGGGAGCGGAGCGGGGGGCAATGCGGCGAACAGCTCCCTGATGCAGTTGGATCCAACGTACTACCTGTCCAATCGGATGCCCTACAACACCAGTAATAGCCTCGGTCCAAATACTTGTAGAATTATAGATAGGCGTTACTCTGCGAAATAAGAGTACCCAGAACCTTTGTAAATCGAACAATGAACTAAAAGATCCTGCTATCCAAATTTTTAAAATTATTTATTTCTCGATTTTAAACATTTTTTTATCTTGTATCGAAAAACACCGGAATAAGCAATTTCTTATGTTTTTAATATTTGTACTCATTTTAATCAACTTTATTTCTATAATTTATTGCTTATCGCAAGAAATAATGATTTCCAAAAATCAAACGTTATATTTTATACGTTCTTAAACTGAAAATGTCTAATCTAGTTTAATCATAACTTGAACTTTTGTAGATCAAACTTAAACATTTGTTATTTTGTATCGAAAAGCACTCAAATATGCCATTTCTTATTTTTGTTATATTTTTATATTTTTTTTTTATAACTTAAGAAATATTAATTTTAATCAACTTTCTATAATTTATTGCTTGTCGCAAGAAATAATGATTAATGTGTCTATTCTCTAGCCTGTCTAGACCATGATACAAGACGACTAGTTTAAAAGTTAAAAAGCGTGAATTAAAATCGGTTCGAGTTACAGAGTGTTCCATTTGGAAGAAAGTTGACGCACGAAGAATGTCTTGCTGACCACATTCTCTTCTACCATTTTATATTGCAGACAATAGCGGGATAGCGGAGGATCAGACCCGAAAACGCGAGATCCGACTGCAGAAGAACAGGGAGGCGGCGCGGGAGTGCCGACGCAAGAAAAAGGAGTACATTAAGTGCCTGGAGAATCGAGTGGCGGTGCTAGAGAACCAAAACAAAGCGCTAATCGAGGAGCTCAAGTCGCTCAAGGAGCTCTATTGTCAAACCAAGAACGATTGAATGTGGGCGTGGCTCTGGCGCCGCCTGCGCCTCCGCCTCCAGTTCTGGACAACGCCCGACAGCAGCGATGGATCGATCCTCCCCGTTGGCCGGCCGCATATCATGATTTATATACGTATAGGATGCTATATGTGGTAGCGTGTACATTAACTGTATGAACTGTATGCTGTATATTGTATGCCGTATATTGTATACTGTATACTCTATACTATATACTGTATTCTGTATTCTGTATACTGTATGAGAGGGATCGTGTTGTTGCTAGGACACAGACGGACGGACAGAAAAACCTGCCGGACGGCCGAGCAGAACACACAATGTAATTATGTTTATAATTTAAAGATGTAATATTATGTTTATGATTTAGTTTATGCCTTAGTTTATTTGCTAATTTAACGATACTGAAGTTTACCTACAAGAATGTGTTTCTGTATCCTAAGCCTTTTACCTTTTAAAACGTTTACCCTTCGGATTCTATTCATCCCGCTCCCACTTTTGTAATTAAACTTTTTGTTTTACCTAATTCGTAATTATTGCAGGACGTGCGTGTCTAGCGAAAGTGTTTTTTCTTAGCGAATTGTTGTAAGCCAATATGTCAGGATATAGTCAACCAACCCAACCCCCCAACGGATATGCAGATAGGAAAGATACATAGGTAGAATAGAGCGAAGGCGGGCCTAGGAAAGGGTTTTCTGAGCCTCCCAATTAAAATTGTTCAAAATCGCAAGTTTCACTTGATTTATATGTATGTATGTACGTGTGTGCCGCCCAATTGTGACTGTAAACTAGGTTTTAATCGCACTATCTGTATGGGATTTGAGCATGGAATTAAGTTATTCAGACACTTTGTTACATAATTTTAAACGAATCGGAAGCCCCCCTCTCTGCTGTCCCCGAACATATGTACGGTTTATCTGTAATTCTATACTATATATGTATACTATATGGGTAGTTAGCGAACACATTTTGTATATTGTCGATCTTGTTTGGGATCGGAGAGAGATATAGGGGGAGTCCTGCCCTGGGCAAAGCATCGAAAATGAGGGCTTTTGGCCGGAACACACGTATAAGTACATATATATGCATTATATATATATAAAGCAAACACTCTCGTTATCTCTTGTGATCAACTCAGTTGTTGTTATGAATGGTAGAAAACAGGCGAAGGGCGGACAAATACGATAAATTAATGATGAATTCGGGAGACAGAGAACGAACTTTTTTATCTAGCGTAGCGCAACGGAAACAATGTCAAAATGAAAAACCGGAAACGGAAATAAAACCATAAGAAAACATGTATATCTCTCTATTTTTGATGTCCGGAATCAAAACTTCTGCAAAGAGGAAAACATAAAAAAAAGAACACAGAAATCCAGAAAAAAACTGAATGCGATTTCAAAGAGCAGCTTTTTTTGGCCAAGTCTGAGGAGGGGAACGCAAAAATGGAAATAAAAGAAACAAAAGTTGCATTCAACAAAGTAAATAAATATTTTTATTGTCATTGCATAATTCTTAAGCTAGTAATTTTAATATCTAAATCGTAAGCGCGGAAAAACAAAGTAAATGAAAACAATTGGATAAGCCACAGCCCGAAAAGATGGATTTATAAATCGAAAACAGAAACTAAAACAAAGGCAACACAAATGGAAATGGAAAGCAAAAGCAAATGAAACGCAAAACAAAAATAAGTAGAAATTACAATATTGTTATAAATATTTGTCTCAATGAGAAAACAAACAAAACAAGCAACAAACAAAAGCAAAACAAACCAACAACAAAGAAAATATACATTAAAAAAATCAATAAAACTATTTGAAAAATAAGGTTGTGTTTTCTATCAAAGGGAAATTTAAGAACAGAAAAAGAGTGATTTTTGAAAAAGTTTGACGAAAAGGAATGTTGTTTGAACAATTTTGAAACTTAATAAGTGTTTTTATCAATTCAATTTTTATTTTTCACAAGACCGTCTAATAGCCATGGAATGGAATGGTAATATTAAATTTTATACATAGATACATACTTATATATAAATAACTTAATACGCGGGATTTAAAAAGTATGCTTCAATATCATTTTTAAATAGAAAGACAATAAAAATTGAATTGATCTCATGGGTATTTCAAAAATCATCAAAACTAGATCCTTAAAGGATTTATTTATTTCACCTAAGTAAATCCCAAATCATGATTTCATTTTCACTCTAGATTTCACATCTTATCTATCACTTTAACCTGGTACCCAAATTGAAGTCTTCCAGTGCATCCGTTTCACAGAATGATTTAATATTAAGTACTCACACAGCACACACAAACTACGAGATACGAAAGGTTACAAAAATACAAATGGTTGCGGTTAGATTATTACAATAGTAAATACATGTAGATCAGTCATGCGAGTATTGGATAGGGTCCTCCGGAGTCTACGACAGGAACAAGTAGAGGACGAAGGTGGCCGCACCGATGTAGTGGCTGAAGAAGCCCGCCTGCTGCCAATGCCAGAGGAAGTTCTCGGCCTCCTCCCCCATTTCGAGGGCGTCGCCCAGCAGTACGACTCCCAGATAGGCCAGGTGGAAGATGGCCAGTGCGGTGAACGCCAGGTTGGCCGCCCTCACCAGCCAGTTGGCAATGGAGCTCCAGCTGCGCTTGCTGGGGCAGGTGCCATACCGACACCGCTCCCTGCCCGGACAGGGATTCGCGGAGATGCAGGCGTCCAGGGCGCTCGAGATGTGCCGCCGCAGCAGGGACTCCCCTTCGGCGAAGACGGCCAGCGAGACGAGCACCAGATAGATGCGCAGGTCCATGCCGTGCAGCAGGCTGGACACCAAGTAGGTGCAGAGCACGGCCAGCAGGGTGCGTCCCCTGGAGCCGTCCACCTTGCAGGGCGCATAGATGTACCGCTTGAGCCACTCGTGCATGGGGATGTTCCAGCTCCGGACCAGCGAGCTGATCGAGCGCGGCCACTCGATGTTACCGGGCTGCGAGACGAGCGGCCCGAGCAGCTCCGACTCCTTGCCATCACCGTCCAGCCGCTGATCCCCGGCCACCAGCAGCGCCTGCGCCATGATGCCCACGAAGTAGTGGCTGCTGCGCACACTCAGCGCATCCCAGTACATGACCAGGAAGTGGGAGCTGTCGCCAAAGAAGTCGCTTAGCGCTGGCGCCACGCAGTTGGACACGGTCACGGCCAGCACGCAGAGCAGGACGTTGGGCACCAGGCGACGCAGGCTGACCAGCCAGCCGTTCCTGGGCACCAGGCAGTCCATGTAGCAGCCGAAGCTCACCCAGGGGCCCAGGGCGCAGGTGGCCGGGCTGTAGATGTAGCCCAGATAGGCGAGGGGACCGGGCACCCTGGCCTGCAGCTTGCCACTGGCGGTCAGGTCGAATCCCAGCGAGATCAGTTTCATGTTGACCACCATCTGGATGCCGCGCAGCTGGGGCCAGTCGCTGCGACGGCGCCAAAGGAGCAGCTCGTACAGAAACTGGCTTCCCACGGTGAGGACGGACAGGATTTGGGCACCTTTTCGACCCAGGCGCAGCAGCTGGAGCAGCAGATAGCCCACGGCGGCCAAAAGGAGCAGGAGGAGCAGGCGGTGGCCAACGGAGTACTGCAGCAGGATGAGGCCGCACGCGAAGTGGAGGAAGTGCAGCGGGGCCAGGCTGGTGAGGCGTCTGCGCTGCGAGTACAGGAGGCACAGCAGACGACACAGCAGGCAGAGGAGCAGCATGGGGGCCAAGTACTGGAGGACCTGCAGCAGCGAGGGCTCCGCGCAGCTCTTCAGCGTCTCGATGAGGCGCTCGGCCAGGCCCAGGACTCCGTACCCGTCCAACTCCTCCTCCTCTTCGCCGCCCACGTAGTCGTCGTCCTCGTCCCCCGCTTTCCCGAACGTGTAGTCCAGGACGCCGGCCGTCTCCTCCCCATCCTCCTCGTCCAGATCGATGTAGTCCGACTCCTCCTCAAAGTACTGGTAATCCATCGCCATCGGCGGCCGCCCAACGCGAATCCAATCCCGGGGAATCAAGGAAAAACCCGGCAATCCGGAGGACTCGATCTGCAGTAAGTTATTTCATGAATATACCACAAAATATACCAAAGGCACCGCAAGAACGGCTTTCACTTTTCAGTATTTCCAGGTAGATTTTTCGAACTGGGCAACCACGTCAGCTATTTTATAGCCAAAATTCAACATAAGCTATTTTTCAGGGAAAATCCATTGGTGACGAAAGGGTCACACGCTCGAAGGTAAATAAACCATTTGGTGGCATTTCTCTCAGCCGAATCCTGCGAAATCCCGTTAAATGACGCGCCATGCCCGCAACTGTACGGCCGGAGCCGTGTACACATACAACGAGAAGAAGCGCGATGCAGCGGAGTCCGGCTACGGGACGAATGCGCAGCGCCTGGGCAAGGACTCGGTGAAGTCCTTCGACTGCTGCTCGCTGACGCTGCAGCCGTGCCGCCGGCCCGTAATCACCAAGGACGGCTTCCTGTTCGACAAGGAGGCCATCCTGCAGTACATCGTGACCAAGAAGAACGAGTACAGCCGCCGGCTGAAGGAGTACGAGCGGCTGAGGCGCGCAGAGGAGGACCAACTGAGCCAGGAGGCCAACAGCAAGCAGCAGGCGCGCATGGAGCGCTTCGTCAACGCTGAGAAGCCGGCGATGACACCCGCCCACTCCTCCGCCGGTGCCGAGAAGCCTTCTACCTCATCCGCTGCCGCCGCCGCCGCCGCCGCTGCAGCTTCCTCCTCCTCCTCCACTTCCTCCTACTCGATTTCCAACATGACTAACGGGCACGAGAAGAAGCTGCCCAGCTTCTGGCTGCCCTCCGAGTGCCCCAACGCCGGGGTGGCCAAGGCCCAGAAGCCCGATGCCACCATCTACTGCCCAGTTTCGATGCAACCCCTGAGGGTCAAGGATCTGATCGACGTCAAGTTCACGCTGCTCAAGGACGGCGACTCCAAGCGCTCGCTAATCGCCAAGGAGGCGCGCTACATGTGTCCCATTACCCACGATGTCCTCAGCAATGCGGTGCCCTGCGCCGTGCTCCGACCCACGTGAGTTTTCGGGGGGCTTTCGCTTGGTAAACTCCTAACAACCCTTCACAATTCTTTGCCTTTTTAAGGGGCGATGTGGTGACCATGGAGTGCGTGGAGCGACTGATCAGGAAGGACATGATCCATCCGCTCACCGATCGCAAGCTTAAGGACAAGGACATCATTCCCCTCCAGCGAGTGAGTGAATCTTGGATGTGCTTCTTTCCTTGCCTAAGAGTGATCCTCTTTATTTTTACAGGGCGGCACTGGCTATGCCACTACCAACGACAATCTGCAAGCCAAGGAAAAGCGACCCATGCTTCAGGTTTAGGGCGGATTTCCATCAGCTATTTTAGTCCTCCGCAATACAAATTCATCGACTTAAACGAATTTTTAGCCTTTTAGCTAAAAATTCATGCAGCAATCTAAATCACAATCAGATAGTTATTAACATTTTAATGCTTGTATTTATGTCTTTTGAAAATTCAAAATCAAATTGTAAATAGGCATTTTGGTTTTTCAAATTAATCTTATTCCTAGCTTTTGTTAGTACGAAACTTTGTAAACATACTTGGTGTTTAATCCGTTATGCGCTGAGCAACATCTATAAATAGAATCATAATTATGTATCCCTTACAACTTGTAAAATAAACAAATTTTTACATAGAAAACAAGCACCAGGAAAGCATAAAGTTTGTGAGCGTTTCATATTTTGACCAAATGAGTACAACTAGGAACCTCAGCTTACAACTCCCTTTTCAATATGTTCAACATATATTCCCACGATTCTTTGAAAGGTTTTTGCGATATAGTTTGGTCGGAATGGAATAAGCCATTCGTATTCACTGCACTGCTTCGTATTCATTTTGGCCAACATGTTGATATTTTTAATGTGTGAATAAAATATGGTTTTATTGTTTAAATCTTGGAACTTGTATTTCAGATATGGCAAGCTTTTTCAACAGCCCCTTGAAATGAAAATACTCCCATATTGGGGTTAAGGTATAATATATTCTTTATGCATAAGTGTAACGTGTAATGTAAATTGAAGAAGTTGCAGCTGGCGGAATGCGGGCGGGGGGCCGAATGCGTCGTCTAGATACGTCGCTCTTGGTGGTGGCTGGTCGTCCACGTCCAGTTCCACGTCCACTAGGCCGCCTGCACCGACTGCTTCTGCGAGGAGCTGATCTTGTCGCCCAGACTCAAGGCCATGCCCTGTTTTGGAGTAGACAATCCGATTAAGCGGTTGAAAGATGGAAGAATGGAAGGCGATGGGATTTCCCCGATGCTCACCTGACTCTTGGCGCGAATACGTATGTGTCCCGTCACCTTGGAGTCGGGATCGTCCACAGGCTTTTCGATGCTCAGATTTGCCAATGCATTCTCTCCGAAAATGGATCTGCAAAAGGGGCAAAGCGGAGGATTAGGATGGCACCTTTTAACTGGCCGACTGATTACCCACTTGGCGTACATGTTGGCGGCCATGAAGCCGCATTGGCCGGACAGCGCCTTCTCCGGCGTGAGGCACTTCATGTTGGTGCTCTTCAGCAGGTGCTTGAGATACTCGTGCAGGTCGGTGAAACTAGTGTTGACGGTCACCTTGTTCTCCCACTCGAAGTCCTGCCACATCTGGCGGAACTCGGTGTCCGTGCAGCTGGCCGGAATGATGTAGTCCATGATGTCGATGTGGATGGTATTGAGCACCACCACGTTTGTGTTAAGGGCGGTATCGTAAACTGTTGAAGGCGATAATCATTTAGAAGGGCTTTGCCGACAAAGGATGTGCTCGCTACGGCCACTCACCAATATTGCCGAAGATTATGCCGTTCTCCGTGGAGGACACCTTCACGTTAGCCTTGATGTTGCAGAAGTCGTGCGGGGCCAAGACCACCGGATGCGGGCGTTCCACCAGCTTCAGATCGCCCAACGTGGCCAGTTCCAATGTGCAGTTCTGCAACGTGTCGTCTGAAAGCGATTTGATTGATATAAACTCTTCGACTTCTTTTGGGAACAACAAGGATTACTCACTGGTCTGGTTGACGATCAGCACGTCCAGCACAATGTCGTACTGGTTGACATTGACGTAGGCCTCGGCGTAGACGGGGTCCGAGAAGCCGGTCAGCTGGGTGACCTTGTTCAGCTTGCTGTTGGGCGAGGCCACGTCGCTCAGCTGGGCGTTCTTGCTGCCCGCCAGCGCCTGGTTCAGACTCGACTCGAACACGTTCTCGCCCAGCTGGTTGTCGCGTCCGTTCGAGAGCTGTGCGAAGAGCACTGGATCGTCCGGCTGCACCTTGGCGGTGGCCTTCTGCTTCTCCTTCAGCATGCGCTGGTCCTCGTCGTGCTGGGCGTCCAGCATCTTGCCCAGAGCCTCGCGGCAGAAGAGCGTGAACACGGCCACCGCCTCCGGCGTGCGTTCGCTCAGTGTGCGCAGGCAGACGAAGATGCGGTCGGTGTCGTCGTTGGTTATGGGCTTGCTGGGGAAGCCGGACTTGCCCAGGTGCAGGATGGAGCTCATGATCAGCATCACCTGGGTGGTCAGCCGATTCTGGGCGCGTGCCTCAGGCTGCAGCTCCGCGTAGCGCAGTGCCAACTTGGTCAACGTGGCGGACAGCGCGGCGCCGATGAAGAAGTCGCCGTCCATCAAGTACTGGCGCAGCGGCGGACGCTTCTCGGCCTTGGTCACCCTGCCACAAGGATAAATATCGATTAGTGGATCATTAACAAATTATTTGGTTTGGGAAAAGAAAAACTTTAAAGGTTACTCATCACGAAACAAGCGAACAAGCGGCAACAAATATTCATATTTATCTGTTGCAGAGAGCTGCCAGCTGTTCCACGTGGCCATTACTTACGGGGCCAGACTGTAGGCGCTTTGGGTGGCGTAGGTTCCGTCGGAGGTGACCTTGTTGCTGGCGTTCCCAGACCCGGATCCCTCGGTGGCGGATCCTGTGCCAGTGCCGCCGGCCGATCCCTGCTGCTGCTTCTGCTCCTCGGTCTGATCCCCGGCCAAGCGGCGCTGCTCCGCCTCCACCATGGGCACATCGCCCAGCGTTTGCTGGATGACGGCAATCACCTCGAGGATTTGCGGCCCCTCTACGTACTCGCCCAGAATCCAGACGGCGGCGCGATGGATCTTCGAAGACTTGATCTGCGGGAAGGCCTCGATCAAGTGCTCGATGATGAGGGCGCGCAGGGCGGGGAACTTCTGGATGGCCTCGCGGATGAAGATCAGCACGTCGGCGGCGGCCAGCTCGTTGGTGTCCGAAAGGAATTCCACCAGTACGGGTATAACATTGCCGGCCACGTCGGGAAACTTGATGGAACAGGTGTGCAGAGTGCGGACAAGCAGCTGCCTATACTTTCCCGTATCCTCGTGCTCCACATTGTGCGTCTTGGCCACCTCCTTCTTCAGGACCAGCACCATCTCGCCGATATTGCGCGAGTACACCAGATCGAGGGCCAATGCGAGTGTTTTCCTGCGCACTTCGATGTCTGGAGCGGCAAGAACGCGCAGCACATCCATCACCAGGTCCTGCATCACCTTCTCCATGCCCTCATGCTCCTTCATGGCCACCAGGCGGTCCAGGACGATCAGCTTGACATTGTTGTCGCTCTCCTTGACCACCAGTTCGATATAGCAACTGGCCGCCGCCTTGATGGCAGTGGGAGCCAGGGAAAGGGTGATCAAAGTGCCAGCGGACTCGTAGCGCACTGCATTCGAGCTGGAGTTCAGCAGGTTGTAGATGCAGCGGATGAACCTCGACCGCTCGGCGGGATTGGCATGGCACACCTTGTAGATGAGCTCCACGATGACCAGCTGCAGGATGTCGCCGAAGGTGTGCACCTGGTCGATGCAGCTGGCCAGGTAGTTGAGGGCCCGCTCCTGATCCGCATGGAGGAGCATCAGGAAGGCGTTGCGCTTGCAGCTCATGTCCTGCTGGGTGTCCAGGAAGCTGGCAATCAGCTCCGGCCCGTCGGGCACCAGCCAGTCGAAGTTCTTGTAGATGGTGAAGATGGCCAGGACGGCGTTGCGTCGCACGTACGAGTGCCGGTGGTCCAGGCAGGCGCGGATGGCCGGCATCAGGGGCTCCAGCAGCTCCGGCTCCTTCAGCTTGCACAGGAAGCGCAGGGTGGAGCCGCGCAGGAACTCGTTGGGGTGCTGCAGGTCCTTCCTGTACGCGTCGCACACGAGGATCATCTCTTGCAGCAGCTTCCCGTCCGCCGACGTCTTCGGCACGATCTCCCAGAAGATGAGGAGTAGCTTCTTGATCGTGTGGTTTTGCACCGGCAACACGAACCGTATGATGGTCATGATCAGGCCGGGGTAGCGCTCCCCGTTGAGGAGCAGCTTGATCACCCGCTTCAGCGTCTCGATCTTCACGTTCGTGTCGCCCTTCTCGAGATCCTGCTTCAGCTGCATCTCGTTGGGCACCTCGAGGTCCGGCGAGTTGATTATCGTGTAGCACGGCACTTGCGACGTCATCGTGGCTGCCTTTTCTTTAGCCTGGGGTAATAAGTTTCCCGATTTCCCGATTTCCCAATTTACAATTTTTTTGGTCTCTCCGACGTGTCACTTGATTCCGGGTGTGACCGTGCGAGGCGGCTAGCGAAAATAACACGCGAGTGCCGCCAACGCCATTCAGGGTTGCGCAACGGCTAAGCCGTGATCCGCACCATCTGTCAAGACACTCTGTCGGTTTCCGAGTGCTGTTAAGCGCCATTTATGGCGGGTTTTTTAAAAATTTACATAACTCAGAGGTTGAAAAACTTATAAACTTATAATGTATTATTAAGCAAAATCTTAAAGGCTGCCATTGTTTTGTTTCTCGCGGGAAATGGAAATAAATACAACAAATTACAACTGCTTGTTGTTTATATAAATTAATTTAATTTTAAACGGGTTTTAGCCTATCTTAGCTCCCAGTTAATGAAAAATATAATAATTTATATGGTATAAAATAAAACATGTATTGCGTTCCTATGACTATGCGATCAAAAAGAAAATCAAAGAAAACACGGCTGTAAACGAGACGATTCCCATGTAATTTATTTCCCTGGCAACAAACTACGTGATTATTTGCTGGGTGCGGCTCCATAACTATTACCTGGCTTCCAGATAGCCTCCGCGCCAGAGGACTGCTGATAAGGGTCCACCCGGGGCCAAATGGGAAAAATCCCAACCCATTGGAGCTGATCCGGGGAGATTCCCGTCCGTTGCGAGGCTTTTAACCTTGCCCAGTGAGCCGAGTGTCTGCGGCATTGCATGCGGCATAATAAACAATCTAATTCTGTTCTGTTCTGTTCGATTCCACTAGAAAGATCCCCCGACGACACACCCACACACCCACGACAGTTGCCATTGTGATCTCGTTTTGCACTTCATCACTCAATTGCCGCCCATTTCGTTTCCCAACCACGCCCCCAAAGTCACGGCTTGCATTTTAAGCAGCTCGCCAATTTCAATTTCGCCGCTGTGGGGATTACTTTGAGCTGCACTTGGCTGATGCGGGTGACTAGCTACATAGGTGATCCCATCACATCCCGCCAGCGGAACAGGTTCTCTGCCCGGCTCGAATAAACAAATCCCCTGATAGCGAAGCAAAAATAAAACGTATACTAGAGACTAGAGAAGATGGAGACTAGGGAATGTGGCATGCCCTTACCCAAACGTATACTAAAGTAAACTAATGTCTAGTTCTAGTCTATGAAGATTATCTGATTGCCAGTCAACTTTTTCAAATCATAATTCATCTTTAATCATAATTAGCTGATAACGAAAACTAATGGAATATAAAGTCAGTTTACACTGCTCAATAGTTCTTTATGTTGTTAAATAACAATTAAATAATAAATATATTCATCTATAATTACTTGGAATAGAAAATGTTCTATGTAATATCGGTTAAAGGTTATAATTTATTTAATATATCACTTTATAAAGAATAACAAATTGTATATGTAAATAGGTGACTTGAAATCTTTGACCAACCAACTATGATGTCCCCTCGTAGAGTATAACTCAACAGGCAATTACTCTTAATTTGTTTGCTTCCAAGAAAAGTGAATTTAAATCAGCCAAATCATTAGATGAATGCAAATCAAAACAGAACCAAATCTGCGAAAGTAAAAAATAGGTTTGCAAAACTGGAACCCAACACAATGGAAACTCAGTGGCTGGCTTAAATGCGTTGGTATATCTCTGGATAAGGGCTAAAATCGGATGATTTCCCCTCGAGGAGGTGACTTAACCGGTTAGGGAAAATAAAATCGACCGATTGGAGTATCTCATGGATATTCAGATACTAATACACAGTGCAACAGAAAGCTTAGCTATCATTTATATAATTCAATTAGTGCCTTGAGATCAGCCAAGTCTTCACATATATGGAGTGTACTATGTGCAGCGATCGATTAGGGGATCAAGTGCCAAGACAATTAATTGAAGAGGGAGGCTGTTTTATTAAGAATTTCGAAAGCAATTGAGCTTATGGGGATCGTCAAGTAGGGTATTACAAAAATAGTACTTTATGTTCTTTGTAATTTAAGCAATCATAAAGGATTGGCTTAAAAAATTAGTATGGATCTACGAATGATTTCGGTAAAGAGAAAGTAGTGTTTGGACTTAAAAAAAAAAATAATAAAAACTAAGTACCAAGTTCTAATTTCGAACGATCGTAATATACTCTGTGCAAAGCGGAGATTAGCGTGCCAAACTTAAGGTAGATCATGGACAGAATAATGTATTAAATGGTTTGATATTATGGTATAGCCATACATCAGTGTCGCAAACTGGTTTACCAGAGGATAGGCCTGGATCGCCGCCCACTGAAATGCCTCCTCCCGCGGTAGAAAAAAAACCGGTCCCCTGGACTATCTTTCTTTATTGTCATTATTATTATTCCTCCTTGTCGAGTGGCAAACAGAAGCGAAAGAGAGCAAACAAAGGGAAAAGCGAAGAGCACGAGAGCCGGGTATTAGCCGGCTATAAAAACCCCAGCCGGCATCGCATTCTCCACAGTAGAGCTTCAACTGTTTCGAGATGATGCCGCAGAGAGAGACCCGCACCTGGCTGCCCTTGGCGGTGGCCGCCGTCCTGCTGATCCTCGGACCGCAGGCTACCCGGGCGGAGGAGCCCATCTGTAGGTGACCTCCAACCGGATGCCCAATGGAATCTCGTTAACCCCGTTTCGAACATCCCGCAGATCGCCTATGTGTGCCGCAGATTTACCTGGCAGAGTGCCAGCAACTGCTGGCCGATCCCTCGGAGGCCGGCATCCACATGGAGTGCGTGGCTGGACGGGATCGGGTGGACTGCCTGGAGCTGATCGAGCAGCGCAAGGCCGACGTGCTGGCCACGGAGCCGGAGGACATGTACATCGCCTACCACCGCAAGAACGAGGACTATCGAGTGGTCTCCGAAATCCGCACGCAGCAGGACAAAGAAGGTGAGTGCTGGTGTCCGGGAAAACAACAAACAAGTTGTCCAAACACATAACTAAAACCACTGACAAAAAGTAGCAATTGAATAATAATTATAGGGTATTTTAGCTACACAGTATAACAGCAAAGGAATAGATGGCATAGGTGGTGTTTCGTGGAAAACTTGGGTCTCTGAAAAAGGCTCGAATGACCAATTTTATTAAACTGAAACCAATGATACCGAAATGAGTGACAAAAAGAAGCAATTAAATAATATTTATAGAGTATTTTAGCTGCACAATTGATAGCAACAACACAAAAATGCTGAGTTGAGGAGTTTTGGGTTAAAATAAGTAGCAATTAAATAATATATAGAGTGTAATTTATATTTACAAACTGAAAGCAGTTTTAAGCAAAGGCTCTAAATCTTAGAAACTGAAGCCAGTATCCCAAATATTGTGAGTGGCAAAACAGGTACTCTAACCAATAGGCTCGAAGGACCATAACTTCTGTGACTAAGTAGAAATGAAAATGAAATGGAAATGAGTGTCAAAAACGTAATTTAAAACAGTCCCATTGCGTTTTCGATGTTCTTAATCACTCCACCCATCCCTTACTCATCCATCTCCGCTTACCCCGCAGCCCCCTTCCGCTATGAGGGCATTATCCTGGTGAAGAAGGACTCCCCCATCCGCACCCTACAGCAGTTGCACGGTGCCAAATCCTGCCACACCGGCTTCGGTCGCAACGTGGGCTACAAGATCCCGATCACCAAGCTGAAGAACACGCACATCCTGAAGGTGTCCGCCGATCCGGAGATCTCCGCCACGGAGCGCGAGCTCAAGTCGCTGTCCGAGTTCTTCACGCAGTCGTGCCTGGTGGGCACCTACTCCACCCATCCGGATACGGACCGCCTGCTGAAGAAGAAGTACTCCAATCTGTGCGCCCTGTGCGAGAAACCCGAGCAGTGCAACTACCCGGACAAGTTCAGTGGCTACGACGGCGCCATCCGCTGCCTGGACAAGGGTCAGGGCGAGGTGGCCTTCTCCAAGGTGCAGTACATCAAGAAGTACTTCGGTCTGCCGGGAGCGGGGCCGGATGCCCCGCCGGCGGAGGGCAATCCGGATGGGTTCGAGTACCTCTGTGAGGATGGCACCCGACGACCGGTCACCGGACCCGCCTGCTCCTGGGCCCAGCGCCCCTGGAGCGGCTACATCTCCAACGAGAAGGCTGTCCACAACACCGAGCAGCTGCACCAGCTGCAGACGCGTCTGGAGCGATTCTTCGCCAACGGGCTGCAGGCGCAGAACAAGGACGCCGCCGCCCATCTGCTCATCCAACCGAATGCCGTGTACCACAGCAAGGATGCGGCCATCGATCCCAAGGTCTATCTGGAGCGAGCCGGCTACAAGGATGTGATCGAGCGCGACGGCAGTGCCATCAGGAAGATCCGACTGTGCGCCCAGGGTGATGATGAGTTCGCCAAGTGCCAGGCCCTCCACCAGGCGGCCTACGCCCGCGACGCTCGTCCGGAGCTCGAGTGCGTCCAGTCCACCGATTGCGTGGTGGCCCTCTCCAAGAAGGAGGCGGATCTGGCCGTGGTGGCCGCTTCGGGATATGCCGATGCGCGTCGCAACCAACTGCAGCCGTTGGTCTACGAGCAGCGGGCCGAGGACGATGTCGTGGTGGCGGTGGCAGCTCCCGGTCTAAGTCGCGAGACCCTCCAAAAGGCTAGCACGTGAGTAGATCAGTGGATGCCAATCAAAAAAATGTATATCATAAGTATTTACAAAAGTTAATAGCTTATTAATGTTCACATATACAAAGTTTAAACTATGATTTACGAAGACCATAATCGATCAAGTGCTTAACTCACAAATACTTGAGGATTACTTTAAACCATCTTTTTAACTGCCTAGGTAATCCTCTAGTGATCGATCAGACCTTAAGTGATCAATTCGTTCTTCATTTTAAACCCCCTTGAACCCCCAACTTACTTTAATGTATGCAATCAATAACCAATTCATATCACAAGTTATCACTAATGATGATTTAAGTGAATGATTAATTAATGATAGTAGACCTAAAGTGTTCGCCATAATTGATCAAAGACTAAGGGCTTTCAAGTCCTTAACTCTCAAACATGGTTAGATCACTTCGAATTTAATGATAGTAGAGCTAAAGTTTTGGCTATAATTTACTAAAGACTATAAGTAGACCTAAAGTTTTCGCTATAATTTATTAAAGACTATGAACTTTCAAGTCCTTAGCTCTCAAACATGGTTAGATCACTTCGAACCATCTTTTCAACTGTCTAGGTAATCCTCTAATGATCAATTTAAACCTCGACCCCCCTTTCTTTAATTAATAATATGTGTATTCAAACCCAAAGCAAATTCGATGAGAACTGCGGACGCTCACGCCTGGCCGCTGCCTTCCTGAACAAGCGACGTAGTCTGGACGCCTGCCACGTGTCATCCAGTCCCGATGGCGAGATCCAGATCGTGCGCGCCTCCGAGCTGGAGAAGCACAAGGATGCGCAGCTGGTGTGCCCCAGTTTGGAGCGACGACCCGTCACCGATTTCCGTGCATGCAACGTGGACCTCAGCCTGCCCCGGGCCATCTTCGTCAGAACCGATACTAGCAGCGTGGAGCAGGAGACCGTGAAGCACCTGTTCTCCTTGATCTCGGACAAGTTCGGTGCCCATGGCAAGTTGGTTGATGTCTTTGCCCTTTTCGGCGAGTTCCAGAAGGGCAAGAAGAACGTTTATTTCAACGTGAGTGGTCTCCCTTCTTTCCATACTCATTGCATTCTGAATGTGTATCTTCTCCCTCAGGACAAAGCCGTTCAGCTGACCACGGAGATTAAGAACGAAGTCCAGAACGAGGAGATCTACGCAGATCTCCAGTGCGATGCTAATAAGATCACCAAGCAGTGAGCAGGAAGCGGATTTTACTACCCATATCTCCTGCAGCATCTCATTTTGCTTCAATAAATTTTAACCTGAATATTACAAAACTAAATAGTTTTTAATGAAGAGAATTATGGCTTCAATTGTTTGAACTACTTATGTTGTGACCAGAAAGCTGAATAGTAATGGATCGAGGTCACCAAACCCTATTTGCAGCGTACCATTACTTGGCTAAATAATAATTGATTAGCTTAGAATTTTTGTAGCTTCTGAAAGTTAGTTTGTCGAGTGTATTCTATATGGCAACGAAAACTAGTCGTAAAACTAGTCAAAAATAGATCAAATGTTATTAGTTACATGTTCAAGCCTAAACTTTTAGAGGTATGACACTTTAAAATTAGGTTTTAATAGCTTAAGTCATGAATGAAGAACTTGGGGTTACATTTCCACAAAGCTATGAAAAGGATAACGCTCACCAACGACTATCTGAAGCAAATGATTACATAATGCTTTTCGCAACCCCTCATCAATTATTCACACCAGGTTGTTCTTGTTCAATTACAGCAATTTATAGTTTTAATTAAAAAAAAAATACACATTATATGTATGGAACCAGCTAATGTATAATGTTTAATGTATATATCGTATATGGTATATAATTTCACATATCTGTGTTTGGGTAAAATCGCCAGGGAAAATCGTACGTTTCACAATTGCTTCGACCACAGTGTGGATTTTGGGATGGGTTGGGGTTTTTGGGACGTCGGGGAAGTTTGAGAAGAAAATTCGTTGATCCAAACATTCTTACTGGGGGGAGGGGGTCGCGGCTCCTAGTCTTCGGAGGCGTCGCGCAGCGGCTGCTCCGTGGAGGACTCGGCACCACTGGGCGTCTCCTCCTCCTCGGAGTAGTCCTCGTCATGGGTGTGGGTCACCACGGTGGGCGTGGAGGGACGAGTGTGCACAATGGAGCTCTGCAACATAGGGTGTTGGCTTACAAAAAGGTTACATATAAATATGGAGATCATGTCTTACGGCGCGATGCAAGTCCTTGGTGTCCTTGGCCTGCTCGGTGCCCGCCACAATGCGTGCCGGCTCATCCGGCGATGCTGCCACCGAGGAGTATCCAGTGACCGCCGGAGCAGGGGCCAGCGCTGGAGGCGGCTGGTGGGCCTGGTCGTGGGCTACCGTGGACTCGTGCGGCAGGAGCATGGCCGGAGCTCGGAACATATACGAGAAGGGGTAGTAGATGAGGTTGAGCAGTGTGGCCGCATAGACGTCGGCGTATCGCACCACCTGGCTGGAGAAGAAGGTCTGGCGCGAGCCGGAGCGGAAGAGGGAGCCCATCATGCCGTAGGACATGTCCATCTTGTGCGTCACATCCCGGATGCAGGTGCGCAGCTGCGAAATGTCCGGCTTGACCTTGGCACTCGAATCGAGGTCCCTATAGAGGTCGCCCAGCTTGATGTCCAAGTTCTGTAGCTCCGCAAACAGCTGGCATTCATCCGTCCACACATGCAGCTCCCTCACCAATTCCGGCACAATGAGGAAGGTGCGCCAGCCACGGATCTTCTTCGATTTGAGAATATCGCCAAAGATGTGGTCACCCACATACAGGACATCCTTGCCCTTGGCGTTGATGAACTTGGTGAAGAGCTCGCAGGAGCCACCCGAATACACCTGACCCGGCTGCAGGGGTCCAATGTGGGTGCCGATCTTCAGACCCCCGGTCTTGGTGTCCACCTGCCGCAGAACGGTGCCCTCGTCAAAGAAGAGCGGCTTGCGGGCATCCACCACGATCACGTCGAAGTAGCTCTTCCAGTCGCGATGCGGTTCCTCCGGAGTGGCGCCATGTGGGAAGTCGAACAGGTAGGTCATGATCTCATTGGTGTACGTATAGTCGCTGTTGGTCAGCATGAAGAGTTTGGCGCCCGACTCGCGGATGCGCGACAGAACCGTGGGCAAGCGCTCGTCCTTCTTCACATAGTGTGCCATATTCTATTAATCGGATTACAAAGTGGGGTTAGAAGCATACACTGGTATATGTAGTCATCCTAGGAGCACTCACCTGCGTGGTGCGACGCTTGAGATCGCCATCGGAATGCACCCAGTCGACGGCGCGACGCACATCCTGGAAAATCGACTTGTAGGTGAAAAGGAAATCGCCAGCTTTGATGCCACGCTCAACGCTGTCGGGGGAAAGAGAGAAAGGAGAAAGTAGAGAAAGGGAAACAGAGGGGGCGGGGGAAGAAGACCAGAAGATGCAGATATAGGGGGACTACGAAGTCGCTTTAAATATAAAATAGTATAGCATTCAAGGAGTAACCACCCTTTGTACTCATCTAAATTATTGCAAATGATCCGAACTGGATCATCAGAAAAAAAGAATTCTAATGGTCAGCAGTATAAATAAGTAATAAAACAGAGAAAAGTCCAAGTTGAAAGTTTCTGATACTAGTAGTAGATATTGATGGTAACCCCATAAATCTAAAGATAATCTCCAATTAAAATAATGGCGAAAGGGTGTATTAGTCGAAGCTAACACGGAACATGTAACAAGTGCTATAAGATATAATCCAGAATAAGAACCCCTCTTACCGCACAAATTCGGAGCTATTGGTGAAGAAGTCGGTGAGGCAGGCCAGGAGATAGGTTTCCGGCAGATTGAAGAGCGTGTTCAGGACATACACACGCGACTCGTCCAGTTTCAAGAACTTGTTGGGATACAGCTCGTACACCTGGTGACTAAAGCAGAGAACTCCAATGAGACTTTTGTGTCGTGATTTGCCGACGACACCACTTACTGCTTGATGAACTCAAAGCCATGAACGCAGACAAGGATGTTGCCGTAGGCATCCACTTTCAGCAGATTGCCGTAGAGTGTGTCGAACCACAGGCCACGAACCGGGAACGTGGGATCGTACTCGAACTGAAGGATCTCCTTCGGATAGCCCATGGAAACCAGGCGCTCCTTAACCAGGTTGAAGCCCAGTTGCTCGTACTGCGGTGACTTGTACTCTGTTTAAAACGATATTTATCATTAGTTAGTTGTTAGTTGAGGGCAATCATCAGCCACTCACCTGCCAAAGTGTAGTCCATGTCGAAGCCATAGTACTTGATGTTCTCCAAATGCAACGATCTGTTCACAAACACTCTGCAAAAGAGGAAAGCATCGTTTGTTATTATATGTATTGGGACAGATTTAATAATATTGCATACCCTCGGGCTTTAAAAGAATTATTGTTATTACACTAAGCTCTCAAAGATTTCTTCAGCTTTTTCTATTTTTCAAGATTACTTATTATAAACAATGCCCCATTGTCTTACCAATTTACAGATATAATTTGAGGGTTATTTGTACCCCAAGAATACTCTTAAAACTGCTAATTGGGACTTTTATTTGCTGCTATTATTTTACTAAAGTATATATTTTGAGTAGACTCTGATTTATTCAGCATGAACTATTTATATTTAATTTACTACTATATTTTAGAACGCTTTGATTTGTTGTCGATCGATTTGGCAGATCATTCGATTTGAACTGCCAGTCAATGGGTTATCAAACTAGCATGGAATCGCGATTGAAACGGCGTGAAAAAAGAGCCTCGAGTGGGAAATTGCGGCATGACAATGTCGTGGAAAGCGTGTGACATTCAATTTTCAAACTTTGTCGTCGCTCTTTGATGGTGACAACATCCCCCCTCCCCCCTTCCCCCATGGCCATTTCCATTTTCCGACAGCCGGAGGCGGTACTCAGACTCAAATCGCCGCGGCTTCGACTGCAATGGCAACTGCGGTCAGCAATTAGTGTAGAAAAGTTGTTGTGGGCGGCCAAGGCGGCACCACGCCCCTTTTGGCTTTTGACAGACTTTGTATGTGTGTGTGTGTGCGAACCACGCCTCTTTGTGGGAAAACTCATTAGCGGGATGAGCATGGACAACATGTTTTGAGATACCCTAATTTTGGGTTTTACCCGGGAAAAGGTTACTCGATGATTTCGATTAATCATGGTTGGGAAATTATGCCTTTATTAATCCAAAAACTTTAATTTGCTTCGCTTGTTTCGCTTGCTTCCATATTTTAAATACTTTATAATGTTCACCGAATCAATAATTCTATTAATCAAGGCTGGGGGATTATACCAACAAAAGAGCATTGCAGTTTCGGTTTTTTACTACCTAATTCCCTGGATTCTTCTTTTTGGATTTGGAGACAGTTTTTTATGTGTGTGCATGCTGAGCGTTTATTTATTCTGCTGTCCCTTTTGGCAATCCTGGTCCACTTGAACGTTTGCCAAATAAGCGAAAAAGTTGCATCCTTTTTGGGGCCCAATCTCCTTAGCCTCATCCTTATCCCGCCGCCTCTCCTTTGACCAATCCTCCTTTTTTAGCCAACATTGTTGGTTGATCTTATTTGTGGTGTTGTTGCTCTGACCTTTTTGTTGCTTTTGTCAACCCAAATTCGAACAGAATGCATAAATCTGAGACAAAACGCACGCCACAAAAGGGGACAGCGTTTCGCTGCAATAATTAATTTTTCCTTTTCCCCAGCTGAAAGCAGCTTTGCCAATTTTCCAAACACAGCCAAGAATGTTGTTGACTTTTAATCGATTCGGGGTTAAGGGTGGCAAATAATAATATTTTGTAGTGACATCGGTGTTATATAAATTTAATAATTGTCTGGTATATCGCTGTTTAGATGTAAGATTAAAATCAATGTAACATGTTTTAAATATATAAATTTAGAATACATATCGCTATTGTTGATCTATGTATGGGCCACAGAAATTGTAATATACATACGTTAAACTCTCGACACACATCACTAATTCGAGGTCAAAAGGTACAGATTTTCTGATGGTCAAGTGCTCGGCACATTTCCGCCAAAAATCGCCAAGATGACTAAACGGATTAATTCGAAATCGCCGCGGCTAAAAATAGTCTAATAAATGCATAAATGAAATGTCACTAATCCGCCGTTTGTATGGGTTAATTGTCACTGCCAGCGGATTGCGCGTCAATTAATGCGACTGATTCCGCGGATCTATTAATACGATCCGAGTCCCTGGGAAATAGTTAGATTGGGTGCCCAGATTATTGATTGCGATGACAGAGACATGTGGCCTGGGTGCCATTTGCTCATGTTTGCCTTTCGATATACGCTGCGTATGAGCAATGTTTGTATGAGAGAAGTCACAAGTTTTTCATATTTTCTTAGAAGGGAGATGGAGGGTGTTTGCCATTCATTTGCATTGATAACAAACCGCGAAGTATTGCTTGGCGAATTCGGAGCTCTCAATTCCATTGGCTGAATGCTCAAGTGCGTCAACGAACTGATTGGCAGTGTTTTGTTTACACCGCCAAGCGATGCGATCAACATTTTCCAGCGTCAAAAGGTCATCGGTACACATTAGCATCATTTATACAAATGTACCGCCCAGTGCACATTAAATACGTGTTTTTCTGTTTTTAGCTGATTATACTTTTCATAATCGGTCCATTGACACTGGCTGAATCAGAGCATCCGATTTGAACGCTTTTTAAATGGACTTATGCTCAATAATTGTTTAAAAGTTTATCCGGCTTGAGTTAACATTCTATGATAGTTGAACAAATTTAACAACAGAGTGGCAAGCCGAATTTTAAAGAAATACGTTATCCTTAAAACGTATAAAACGATCGTTCTTAAGACTTTTATACGATATGGTCGTCCGATTTTATTAAAAAAATATAAATGCCATATAAACAGCAAAAAAGTCTACTAAATGTAAACAAATTAATAAAATGACAAGACTTTTATTTTAACGTATAATGCAAAATTGCTTAATGTACAACTTTTGCATTATACGTCAAAAAAGAAAAATGCTGTTAATGGGAATAATATATCAAAAGAAGCCAATTGTTAGGGTTAACTTTTATAGACTTATAAAAACATAATCTGGGGCCAATTCTAATCAAATTGCAAACTGTGTCAAAAATAAACAAATTAAAACCAATAATTGCAAAACAAACATTCTTTTAGAATATGGACCTTCTACAAAGCGCTACATTAATCCTTGCTTTAAATTTGTTTGACTTTAAATTTAATAAACATTCATTTAAAAATAAACTATAGGTGGTATAACCTATATTTTGATCTCTGGTGTTATTTTGGTCAATACTCATCTTATTATGAAGTTTTTCATGCTCAATAGTTTCGAATTCATGTGGAACATTTTGGTTTGGGTGTTAGTGAGACTTACGCGTGGTGCGGCTGCTGCAGTAGCCACCACAAGGACTCGGTTGCTTCGGCTCCTGCCGTGATCTTGGTGTCCGTGACAGCTGTCCAGGACATGCCAGTGCCACCGCCACTAGATGCCGGGAAATCCCCTGTTCTCGAGCAGTCGAAAGTGGCATTCAAACTTCTTGCACAGTTGCCGTTTAGCCAGTCGTTATTGTTGTTGTTACTCAAGTTGTTATTATTATGCATTGTTAACTTGTTTACGTTTCCTAACAATGCAATGAAAATGTGTGGTCGGTGGAAATTGCTTTGCTCAAGTGCGTATTTCCTATTTATTTCGCTCCCTTCTTTGGCTGTCGAAAATGGGAATTTATGTCCGGTTGCGAATGCGAATGCGAATGCTTATCGCTCTGCCAGTACCAGTATATGTATATACATATGTAGTGTAGTTTTACCCCCCGAATGGATTGGCCCTGCCAGATAGTCTGCTGCCCGTCAAGGATTGTCAAGTGGAGTTGCCCATGTCCTTGCAACACCAGCAGCAGAGGGTTTATTCTGCTGCTGTTGATTAGATTCAACTGCATTCCAGGGGGTAGAGCATGCCCCATAATGGCCATAATTCACCGCCCTCCTAAATTGTCCTGGCCAAATTGGGTTTGCTTGTTAAATCGAAATTCATATCATGCCAATGCAAGTTTATCAATTTAGTTGTCATCCCTCTTCAGTGTCCATCTCTGCCAGCCCTTTGTATTTTCTATTCCCTCCCTTGGACACGTGGTTGCCGCTGGCCAACGTTGCGTATGCGTCATGGTAAGTAATCCCCATAGCAAAGCAGTTGCATTTCTATTTTAAGCCATCATCAGCCAACACCCACCCACCGTCGTCATCGTCATTATCACCATCATCATTATCGTTCTCCTAACTGGAGCTTGCAATTGCAATTGAGAGATTTGAGCTCCAGTTGCTGACGTAGTCCAGCTGCCACGTGCCACTGCCCTTTGGACAAAACCTGAGCTATAAGATTCTAGGGGGATAATAACTAGCCAGTACAGATGGTACTAAACACAACAATTGGCAGCCAATCAGCGGGTTTGCAAAGGGTCAGCAGGAGTACCCCTTTTCGCTGAGGCAACAACCGGGCAAACAGGCCATCAATAATGATAAACTTATCATTAACAATCACGCGAAAGCACTGATTAGACAATCAACAACTTCTGACAATTAAAATTGAAGTAGTTTTCATCAAGCAAAAACTTTTAATAAAAAATATCAAAGCTGCTTGTTTAAATATAAACTTGAGTACTTATTGCTATTAATAAATGTTGAGTACAACAATTTATTTTTTAAGTTTTTTAAGGCTATCTTTCCTACGGCTTGTATTGTATTGTGAGCTCAACAAATATAGATGAAATGATTTTATCTTGACACTACCCATAAATTTGTATTGTTTAAGGCAATCCCGTCTTAAATCTAGGATATCTTTAATTGGTTGTTATTTAAAGGGCCTTAGGCCATAAGCCAGTATCAACAGAGCAATAATCAACAACTTCTTATTGTTGCGGTTAAGCTCTTTCTATCCCCGGGCTTTCAATTGATAAGTGAGAGCTCTCTAAATTCAATTATAACCGTATCGGCAATTTCCACATTCCCCTTCCCTATTTCCCCCCGCCCGAAACTCAATTCGGCCACAAGGTTGTGTCGGAATCTTGTAAGTCCTTTGGTGTTTCGGCTCCAATTAAAATCAAAATGCCAAACAAAAACAACTGGGGTGTGGCCAAGGTTTAGGAGGAGGGCTTCCCAGTTTCCCAGTTTCCCGGTGCCCCAGTATCCCGTATCCCATCATTAAAGCTTCCGGCCAACGAGCAGTGGTCACCTATGTGGTTCAGGGCGGCGCAATTGGGCGATAATTGACTTAATAAGCATAACCACAAAACC